TAAGATCCTTTTAAAATTTTCATATGGTCTGTCAAGGTTCATTTTTTTGAGTCAAGATGTCTATTCAGTATCTTTCTAGAGAAAGAGCTGGGTAGACCGATGTTTACCGACATGAGGTTCATGACATGTCATATTCCTGTCCTTCAGAGTATTCTAATTATGAAAAGTCTTCTGTATTAACAGGAGAAACAGAAAAGTCACTTTCATCATTCCTATCAGTGAATTTGTTAGTGTTTCCAATTTCCACCAGCTCTGTCATTATAAACACGCAAACAAAATTTCATGCTTAATTTGTACGGAACAGTTGCCAAGTGACAAGCGTGGACAGTGTTTAAACCTTTCTCTGACTAGTTTTGGGGCTCTGGACCACTAGCGATAACAATACTTTTAATTGGCTAAATCATAGAAGTGCCATACAGCACTCTTCAGATTTTGGCAACTGGAGTGCAACTGTGCCATACATGTACGTATGACTTTCTTAGGGAAACACACTTATGTCATGAAAATCTGAGAGCACTGTAACTTATCAAATCTTGCTGGAAATCAAAATTTAAGTCCTACACTAAATCCTTTTACCTATATTTGTCTTTTTAACTCAAAGCTTTTTATGTAGAGTGTTTGTTCATTATTTCCATGTTTTCATTATATACTCACGTCAGCAGCTGTGCATTGTCATGTTTGTAATTTTTGACCAATTCTGAATTTCTGTATTTCATAAAGTATTGCAAACTCTTGTCAGAGTCTGAGTCAACCACTATTTTATCCTTTTGGGTCCAAGTTTCAACTGCAGTCAGAGCTATACGTACTTTGAGAGGCCTGAACAACTACAAGGCAATTTAATGGCAAATAGTTAGTGGCCTGCATTTGAATAACTAAAATTTTCCAGAACCTTACTGGAGTTATCTGAAAGTCCATGTATCTTGAAAAAATGCAACCCCAAAATATATACAATTAGTATATACTAAAACAGTGGATAGCATTGAAGGTGCACTCTGATTGGCGAGTCAAACTCCGAATATACTTTGCTAGTTACCTCCGAGAAACTCGCGAAAAAATGGCGTCCCAGTTTGCATATGCGACAAGCAAAGAAATCACTCAAATTAACGACAGTGGTGTATATTATCTCACTGTTTTAGTATATATATACTAAAACAACTATTCACCTTGGTGTCAGTGGTTAGCGGTAGATATTTACCTCGCAGCTTCATGGCTCGGTAAATATCCACCACTAACCACCTCCACTTTGGTGAAAAGTTGTTAATGATGCATCACAGAGGAGTCTCAGGCACAGATACGTAACAAATCTCCTAGCCTCTCATTTTGGATGCTAATTCTCTGAGATTAACATGAAATTAGATCACTTTTCCCAATCGAACTTAAGATTTTAACGCATGTTTTCTAAATTGAGTCCTCTTCGTATGCCCACCTTACAATTGCTGACTTTGTTTCCTTGAATGACAATTCAAATTTTAAATCTACATGTAAGTCCTTCATAGGTAGAGCACTTTTCGTACACATTTATTCAGTGATAAACAAACTTGAAGGGAAAGGAGTTTTAGCCATAAACAAATTTTCAAGTTTCATTTGCCATCTGTTTTAAACCATTTAACTAAAAGGAGTTCTTGAACTTTACAGCAATTTCTCCTTGCAGTATCATTACATTGTCAGTCAAAAAGTTCATGCAAAGAATACTTCAATTTTGAGAAAGTGCCCTATAAAATTCTGCATAGCACTCTACACTCTATTCAATAATATGCAATCGCCATCGACCAATCAGGAGTAAGATATTTTGTTGAGAATAATTATAAGACCACACTGTTATTCATGGCTGATAATTACTGCATACCGCAATATACACGATACAGAAAGTCTAACAGCAATGTCTCATTACTTACAGAGTCTACAATGTTAGCTATCATCTTTGAACGATATTCAACTGCTGTCCTGTTATTCTTAAAGTGTCGGTACTAAGAAAAGATATAAACAGCCATACAAAGGAAACTAAATTTCACAATCAATAAATGACATTTTAAATGATCCACTACTGTAGGAGACGTAAAGTGTCGGTACTAAGAAAAGATATATACAGCCATTCAAAGGAAACTAAATTTCATAATCAATAAATGACATTTTAAATGATCCACTGATGTAGGAAACGTTAATTTCCCACACACGAGATTACTTTGCGATGGATGTCCTCCCCTGGGGTGGGATGGTGGGACGTACAGGCCACCATTTAAACCAGCTTCAAGCTGAACTGGGCTGGCCTGTCTAAATATCGTAAATACATACATAGACATACATACATACATAATACAGCATTAATCATTACTGTTCCCTCAGTTTACTGGAGGAACTTTTATTTAAAAGATAATGGAGGGAGAAGGTGGGTGGCTCTTACAATTTTTTTTTCTACTGGGTGTACAGGTTTTGAATGCCCTTCTTCAATTTCTTGCAGAAAAAATTCTAACCCTCTGAACAAAATATGGCCCTCCCAAAAGCCCCACTTAAATAAGTGATGATTCTCCCATTTTTGGTTACATAAAATGTAATGACCCTTCCAGAATTTTCACCAGCCCTCCACTCCCCTCTGATAAATGAAAGGTAACTTGGACTGACTCACACAGCTTTGGCTGGAACCTGTTGAAGATTTGGAGACTACTGCTAATTGTCTTCCTCACTGATACCGTGTTAGGGCAGATACCCTTTAATCCTTTAACCACTATGAATGAGTGCTTCTAATATTGCCTTTTGTTAAAAATTGAATCATTGGATAATGCAATTCAAGACTTTTTATTGGCTTAGCCATTATGGTATATGAGCCAATATACCATAATGTAATATCTGTACATTAATTGTAACATCCGGTTTCTTCTTATAAAATAAAGTTGAGAAGATTTGTCTAATATCAGTCTTGGGGGCATTTTTTTTAATAAAACAATTATTCCACTCGCGCTTGTTGGATATGAGATGATTATAGCCAACTCGGCGATACATGCCTCGTTGGCTATCTATCATCTCATATCCAATGCCCGCTCATGGAATAATTGTTAATTATTATAAGGCTCTGTCTCACAAGGACTGGGAACTACCGAATTCATGAATTTGATTGGCTGAAATCAATATTGAAAGCAGTCTAGATTTTCCCATCTAGACCGACATCTAGACCGGTATAGAAAAAAAAGGTACAAAGAAGATAAAAATTAGTATATAAGACACAGCCATATAATAAACATCTTATTAACCGAGCTAATTTCAATATATCAACAAAGTTGAAATGGTAAATTGGCCACCGTTGCGATTATAAAAGCTCACGTTTCGAGCGTTAGCCCTTTGTCGGAACAAATAAGCCTTTATTAACCAAGCTAGGTCAGTCTGTGTGGGAGAATCTTGACCTTGGTCGCTGGTACAGACCTCACTGCGTTCAGTCTGTACTGGTGACCTCGGTCAAGATTCTCCCATACAGACCTCCCACTCGGTTAATAAGAACTAAGTAGCATCACCCATAAATCAGATATAAAGGTCAAGTGAATAAGGGAAACGACTGCCAATTAGGAAGCTCCTAATTGTCCCACAAAATCTCCTTGTCAGTACCAGAGGAAATGTAAATTTGACTCGCTGACCGACTGACTCGCTGACCGACTGACTCGCTGACCGACTGACTCGCTGACCGACTGACTCGCTGACCGACTGACTCGCTGACCGACTGACTCGCTGACCGACTGACTCGCTGACCGACTGACTCGCTGACCGACTGACTCGCTGACCGACTGACTCGCTGACCGACTGACTCGCTGACCGACTGACTCGCTGACTGACTGACTCACTGACTGACTGACTGACTGACTGACTCACTCCCTCACTCACTGACTCACTCACTCACTGGCTAGATGACGGATGGACTAACTGACTGACTCACAGACTGATTGACTAACTGACTGACTGACTCACTGATTAACTGACTAACGAACGAGCTGACTGACTGTCTGTGTCTGATTGACAGACTGACTGAATGGCTAACTACCTGACTGACTAGATGACAAACTGACAAACGAACCCACTAACTGACTGGCTCACTGGTTGACTGACTGAGTGACTGACTAACAGACTTATGGACTGACGGACGGACGAACTGATGGACGGACTGAATGATTAACCCAAATAAATAATTTACCTGGAGTTTATCCTCGTGATTTGTGTGTTTGTCTGACAGGTGCCGAAACTCTTGAGTCATCCGGAAACAGTGATCAATACGCTAGGATGTAAACACAAACAGCACGATTATAATAACGCCTATCCGTGTAAAAACAGCCAAACAAATACATTTCAATATACTCTATACACCTCCTTCGTAGCGTGACTTAAAAAACCACCTTACGATCTCCTCCCCCCCCCCACTTCTCTTACCTTCCCCAGCCCCCTTGCAAATCAACAAAAGGAGCACAAAGCAAACAAATAATAGTCGTACCTCAGGAGAAACAAAGTCCTCAGCCACCTTAACACAGCTGTAGAGATTTCGAACCTGGAATGAAAAGTCGTCAATTTAACAGCTGAAAAAAACATATTTTGAAATGAGAAAATGACGGTTTTCCAGTTTCGTGTTTTCTGACGATTGTAAACCCGGCAATGTTTAGGTATTGGTTATAAGGAAAATATCAAAACTATCCGCGTGAGTCAAAGCGTTAGAGTACTTTTTGGCGGAAAGTCATAAATCAAAACCCTTTTACTATAATAGCCGATCGGTGAAAAAAAATGTAGCCTGGCAAGACGTAATGCAAGTACAAGTACCCAACCAGATGTGTGGACTAACTCGAGTGACCATGTTGCCCTTGGTTTCAGTTTCATATCTGATTGGCTGAGATTGTGGCGCGAGTTTTTTTTTACTAATCCCATAGTATGGTGAAGCAGAACCAATGGAATCTCTCATTCCTTTAGACTGAGTACCACAATCAGTAATTCCTCTTTTCGCACACGAAAGTCACTCCTATCTACATGTTCTTTCCTAGTTAACCCTTTAGCTCAGTCTCGTGGGTGACCAAGAGAGATTATCTCCTTACAATAGCAATACAATGTCAAGCAGACAAGTGAAGAGAATAAAGAAAAATATCAATTAGGGGATTATTAGTTGATCCAATACCAAATTCTCGAAACTTGCATCATAAGAATTGTATGGCAGACAGTAAAGAGAATTACTAAGAAGATCTCGGGAGTGAAAGGGTTAAATGATCCTGAGTACACGTATCGTGACAGTTTAAATTCTGATATTTTGACAATAAATAAAGCAAGATAACCATGGCCAGCACTCGGCCTCAACTCGTATCCTGCTTCAAAAGAAACTCGCTTCGATACGATATACTAAAGTACCTGATGAGGGGCTCCAGCTGGAATGAACACAGAATCGCCAAGGCACTGACAGATAGCCCAGCCCTCCACTCCATACTCCCCTTTTAGTCTCTGCCTGATTTCATGATCCAGGTAAAAACACTGACAAAAAAAAAACAACAACAACAACAACAAAATAATTGTTTGGTTCCCTCTTGAAAACAACATTCTCCAAAGAGTAGTCCAGCTATCTCGCGAATTTAACCTGCTTTCTATCAAAGAGAATTCTGATTTATCTGAATCTTCTGATTTGTAAGGCGCCGAAAAATGGACAGAAAATCAAAAAGTAAAGACTAAGGGCCGATTATTTAAACAAAGCCCTTTGTTTTACAAAACGGCGTTCTAAACTACCCTCAATCTAGCTGAACCGTTTTAACTCAAAAGTTATTTTTCTGAAGTGTCAAGAGGGTTGAAAACTAACAGTGGAAGGACATTTATATAATTGAATTAACCCCTTTATAGAGAAAACCCGAGGCCCACTGCTTGCGTAAAACCGCGGTTTCCGTTAGACCTCGTGTAAATAACTGGCCCTAAGTTTCCATCTGAATAACAATTTTTAAGAATAAAAGAGGAATTCGGTCTAAGTGTTCTACCCGCTTGACGTAACAAACAAATAAACAAGTCAACGAAGAGAGGAACAACAGAAACCTGATCGTGTATGGGGTCGTGATGAGCGGAATATTTCATCTTCCGTTCCTTGGCCACCTGGATTAAAACAAAATAAAAATGTAATACGCGTGAGACATAGTTCTTAACGTTCGTAAGGTTCTACAAACTTGAAAACGTTTTTACTAACGAAACATATACAACAAATAGTTAATTTATGGGCTCTAGATAAACTGCGGTCTGTTTAAGGAGAGGATCGCCACAAACAATCAGATATAGCGTAACAGCACATACAACAGTTCACTTTGTTTTTTTGGCCGCATCAAGGCGCAGTTCTCGAGGACAACAAATAGACACTCACCGCGCGGAGGCAATCCCTGATCTTATCTGCATCTTCCGCTGCATAGATGTGCCACAGAGCCCCCTGAAAAATACCAAGCATTTAGATACAAACCACGAACTAACTCGCTGACCAGACTTGCCCATTCATTATAACAAGTTTGATAACAATCAGAACTGCCTGCCAACATTAATGAATTTCTCAACTTCATCCAATACTCTAATCAAATTCGAATAAAAATTAGAGAAAAATCTCGAAAAGACCTATTCAGTTTGATTGCTCTGACCAGTCAATTTCCAGGAATGACAATAGCCCCTAAATAGATCAGACCATGGGAGGGCCACTGCAAAAGTATGAGAAGTTAAAAACTTCTGCTTACAATTCTGGCGGTTTCTTTCCGGACTCGTGTCCTCTGTGACTCGTCACATGCTTCGTCCACTGCTCTGATGGCATCTGACAAAAAGGAACGGGAGGATATTGAAATGCAAAGGCCAAAAGCACCGTAGAAAATCATAAAATTCGTGACCATCTTTCTCTTGTTCACTACGCCTCCTCCCATTTTCCAACTCGTCCCCAGTCGTCTTCATAGCACGCAGCCAACACGGTCGGCATGAGAGCGCGAAGTGCACTGCTCACTGTATTACCATGCCGCGCGTGTTATGAAGATGACCCTAAATGAGTGAGCCCCATTTACTCAAAGATAACTATCAGCGTATGAGTATAAATGAAGTTTACCAAAACATTTCGTTGCAAATTCCCTTAAACATCAAAAATTTGGACAGTCGGTAGAATTTAAGTTTCCGGGATAACTGACTACCATTCTCATGAGATTATATCAACTTGCCTCTGACACCTTCAATGTATTTAATGTTAAATGCATCCTACATTTTACCTTAAAAATCCTTGTTTGAGAAGAGTTTCCCTCACAATATAAACACAACATTTTTTTTTAACAATCTACCTTGTCTTTCCTTATCACCAGCTCCCTCATCTTTCGGCACTCCAACGTACACCTGAAAAACGAAAAAGGCGTTATTACAATGGCAATACATCGGTAACTAACGCTTACATAGGTAACACTCTGCTCTGGTCGAAAAGCGTTTGTGACCAAGTTTGTGGTGTGATAAGTGGAACCACTCCCCATAACCAGTCCACAGTGCGTGTGTCAGTAAATGGCCACCGCATCCGCTCAAATTCGCTCATAATATCGATGGTCCTTCGGGTTGCCAGTGCCGAAACACGAGGAAAGAACTTGCTACGGTCGTAAAAATTACCCAAATGACAAAATTGGATGCATTAAAGGAAGTGGGACTCGAAAAGAGCGTCCAAAAAAGTTCATCGGCGAGAAATTATGCGATAAATGTGCGCAGGTAATAGGATAGTACACCGTAATTTTCTAATGAAAAGATAAAAAAAAAACCAAAAAAACAAAGTACCAAAGAACATTTCTCAAAACGCGATAATACTAACCATGATATTGACAGCGTCTGACATATCAAGATGAAGGTTCGTTGTTCCTTCCTTAGGACATGCTGCGGAACCTGAAGATAAAACAGTCCAACAGAGAAAAATGAACGTGAAGAATACGTCATGCGACTGATACGATAGGTTGAGTATACAATATTCAAATGCAACGGGGTGAAGGAGCCACGGCTTGATTTTATTTTCCCGCTCTACATAGTTATTATTTGGCTCGATAACAAGCCGCTGGTTGGGAAATCATGAGCCCACGTTCTTTTAGGAGAACGAAGACTGGACTCAAAAGAAAGGCGGAAAACGAACCTAGTCTGTTGTCAAACTGAAAAAAAAATTAATAAATAAAAAAATAACAGAGAAGGAAAGATAGAGAAACAAACAGAGGGGCGAAGATTATCAAAATCCGCTGGAAAAAACTAAAACAGATTATAAATGATAAAAAAAAATACTAGTAACTAAAAATGGAAAGCGTTTCGAAAGGTTTACGTGTGTTGACCGAAAAAACAACAAGGACAATACAACCTTACCGTACGCGTTGTACATTTTTGGCCCTAAATCTGGCTTGACAAAAAAGTCCGGTAGCCTCGAAAAAAGAAAACACCAAAATTATCTTTTTATTTCAGGGACAAGCACTATCAGAGCCAAAAGCCTGTCGTGCAGTGAGACAGGAAAGTAAGGAATAGACATGGTTGAAAAGAGAACACGTTTTTCTTTGACAATACCATTTGTCCACAAACAAAATGCCAGGTTTGGATCATGCATAGATTGCAAAGGGTTTAAGAAATTCTACTCCGTCAAGCACGATTTCCTCGATAAGTGTCGTTCCCAAGAGTTCTTAGGTCAAAACTGTACTCAAGCCAACTGGCCCATCCAGCTAGACCTACTCCGGTTTCCACAGCATGAAGCGGCAAAGAGTATTATTCCTTTCTCCTGGGTGGGATGCCAGTCAATGGCGATGTTACCCCCCAGCATTTCATCACGCTTCCCTGACAGTTAGCCGGTACCCATTTATACTCCTGAATGGGAGGGGAGGGGGGCGGGGAGAGGGGCACTGTGTTTTTATCTAATGCATATAAACTTGTTGCTATAGATGCAGCTTCAGTTAACTCCCGAGCCAAAACCTTCCTCAGTCTAAACGAACAACAATGACCATCCATTGCAAAGTAATAGTTCAGGTAAAGTTCAACAGGACTGATTGACATAACATCTGAATACCTCGAGACTAAGTTTCGCGAACCATCCCTCCTGGTGTATTCTGGTAAAGGGACATTGTTCATCAGATCTTCAAACCTATTTCATAACGATCAAAAAAACCATCAATTTGACCGCGCACACCTAAAAATTATACACAGAGAGAGGTAATTCTGGATAAAAATGCATTAAACTCCAGACTGTGACACAGAGCAACAATAGAGGATTACCGGGTCGGCAGCTTTTCACTGAAGTCATCTTTCGGTGGCCAGTCCTATAATTAAGAGAGCATACATAAGAAAAATGCCACAATAAGGGTATTCATACTCGGAGATGGAGTAAGGGTCCACCTTACTGGACCTCGCAGCATAGAGGATATTCTTCGCTAACCAACAACACGCACTTAACCTTTACACCCTAAGATCAGTATGCATATTCTCCAAACTGTTCTTTATACATTTCCTAAGGTGCTTATAAGGAAAATTTTCCAAGAGCTTGTTCAGTTGGTGATCATTTCCTTTATCAATCCTCGTCACCGTAACGTGTAATTCAGAGGCGACACTGTAAGGAGACATATCACAGTTCCCACAGCAACCTGGGCCGGGTTGTTCAAAGCTGTGGTAAGATAACCCAGGGTTACTGTAAAATCTGATTTCAGATCTGAAAGCTTTAAAAGGAAATTCAGTAGAATTCTTTTTGTCTACAACTTGGTGATTGGATGCTTTAAAAAGTGTAAGGAATATTATCCCAAAAAAGACTTTTGAACAAAGGATTAAAAAAACCCTGATTAGAATTTAACCTTGGGTAAGTGCTAATCAGTCTTCGAACAACTGGGCCCAGGTGGACAATCAGACATGGTTTGATGCTATAATTTGGATATATCAACAAAGTTGAAATGGTAAATTGGCCACCGTAACGATTATAAAAGCTGACGTTTCGAGCCCTTCGTCGGAGTGAAATGGCTAACGCTTCGCTCCTTCGCTCCGACGAAGGGCTAACGCTCGAAACGTCCGCTTTTGTAATCGTTACGGTGGCCAATTTACCATTTCAACTTTGTTGATATATCCAAATTATTTCGTTACTCCCGCCGACGCAGCCCCAAACAGTTTCTTTCGAAACTATCAGCCTTTATGGTTTGATGCTACTCTGGTTTAAGAATTTAATGAATGCAACCGGGGAAATTTATTCATCATCGACCAAATCTTTAACGTTTCGACACTCCTGTCTTGTGACTTCATCAGGGGTGATCTGATCGTTGCAACAAGAGGCCGTTTATATGCTCACTAATTAACTGTCTTTTTTTTTTCCGACGAGGTGTACATTTGAATTTCTGACGAGGTGTAAATGAATTGTAATTTCCCCGGTTACATTCATTCAATCCTTAAACCAGAGTAGCATTAAACCATGTCTCACTGAAAGGAGAAATTACATGCTAGCCACTCTCAAGGATCAAAGGGTCAACATTAAAAAAAAAAAAAAAACCAAAACAAAACAATCTGCTGTCAAGCAAAAAGTCACATAAAAGAGATTTCATATAATAGGAGGAAAAACACATCATAAATAGATACGAGATAAAAAGTCCATTTACCTTGAGTTTTAACAGCATTGGTTCGCCATTGCTATCCAAAGGACGATCTAATTGGATGAACAGGGTTTAAAAGATGGTCAGTTTCAAAAACAACAGAGAAAATGCAAAAAGCCACAATAACACAAAAACAAATAAACAATTATAACTATATAATGATGATACCAATAATAATACAAACAGAAGAACCACTTTAGAGTATTTACATACCCTTTATACTCTCAAATCCCTGCCAAAAATCACCAACTTTAAAGCGCTCTACCACCACTCCATTCCTGCAGTTCACTACATCAGATATTTCAGAACCTGTAAAGAAAAGACCACTTATTGTAGATAACTCCTCAGACCACACGCAAGAACTTTAAGTGACCTCCTTAGGTGAGTTGTTGTAGGAATTTGAGCAGAAAGGGTTGCGTTTCAATCTTGACCAACTCTAAACCTAGGTACTTGGTACATTTATCTGGTGTTCACAGCTGGCATCTGTCGGACAAGGTCCAAAGATTCAGCGCACTTTGAGGTTTTCACTGTTAGGAACAAGGCTTACCATTACTATACAACCCAATGCAAGACTTGCAGACACGATCCCAATTCTGGAAGGTGAACTGTGCCTCGCTCAGGGTTGTTAAAATATAGTAGCCGACCTTTTCCTATGCTCTTCCGCTGTCAAGGTGGTGTGCTGTTTCCTAGCTGTGTATCCTCTACCCAACTCCGCAAGCCAGTTTTCTCTACTTTTAATCATTACCTCCTACCTGCCTGCACTAAGGCCAGAGAACTTTAGCTCTCTTTTAAACGTATCCTTACAGCGAAGCTATCGTAAAAGGAGTTGAAAAGGCTTTGCATTGTAAACTTGAAGAATTCTTAAATTAACAGATACTTCTACGTATTCAATATATCTACCTAATAGTCGAGTAACTCACCAAACTCCTCGCCAAATGCTTTTGGACTCCAAATATCCAGGTTCAAGTATTTGTCAACTTGACTGACAAGAACAGGCTAAAGAAAAATAACAGCATCAAAGTCATTCCCGAATCAAAAGAGGTTTGCAACATTTTGTAATTTACTTGTGAGGTTTCCATAAATTGAATGAAACCGTCTTAACCTTCTCCCCGCCTGTCACTTGCAGATATCATTCAGCACTTCCGTTAACACCCTCGTTAAATCCTGAACAAACACACATCAAGAAGTGCTTGTACAGATTCTTACCACAAACACAAACTCACGCACACCAAAGCCATTGCTTGCACACAAACACATCTACGCAAAAACGCGCACGAAAACTAAACTCCCGTACCAACACGATCGAACGCCGCCCTGCTCCTTAGCAATTTCAGGTTGCCCAATCATTATTAAACACTGAGAACTCTAAAAATATCTCAACCATAACTATGCCAAACAAGATTTTTTTAAAGTAAAATAATACCTCGCCCTTCTTCCACCGAGCCTCGAATGCTTTCAAGTTTCCTGGATGTCTGGGATCGTGGAGTCTCAACAAACGGCCATCACACAACCAAGAATGCGGTACAGCGTCGGGTGAGTCAAGGACTGGGGCGACCGCGTGGCTTCGTACCTCTTCAGAATATTCAGCACTTGTCGATTCACATGTTGTGGCGACGGGGCCTGGAACTGACATTAAACATGGTAAGAATAAAAAATTAAAAACACGAGAGGAAAAAGACGTCTGGAGAAAGGCACTCATCTACGCTTTACTCAACGACGTGCGCTCACCCTTAACCCTTTCACTCCCGAGATCTTAGTAATTCTCCTTACTGTCTGCTATACAATTCTTATGATGCAAGTTTGGAGAATTTGGTATTTGATCAACTAATAATCCCCTGATTGATATTTTTCTTTATTCTCTTCACTTGTCTGTTTGACATTGTATTGCTATTGTAAGGAAAAATTCTGTCTTGGTCACTCGTGGGAGTTGACATGTAATTCCCAGAAGAGATCAACATGGAAAGTCTCCTCGCGTTTTTAATCCGTTGTCTAGCAAACTGGTAAGGAATATGTAGAAACGCTGGATCCGAATGCTGGGAACAATCACATCGTACTTCCAGAAGCCTATAAAGACCTCGCGCGAGCATAAAATACCGAGTTATACGCGCGCAAGCTACGCGTCACGTTTTTAACTTTAAATAGCGTATGATAACGATCTTCGTTTTTCATATCACTGATGAAGGCTTAAGCATTAGCCGAAACGTCTTTTTCAGAAATAACAATAGTCAGAGGCAACCAATTTCCATCAAACTCATGTAGAAACGCTCACCAGTTATAGTTAGTCAATGTTGTTGCTATAAAGCAAAACTATATTTACTAGTTTACACTGAAGTACATGGCAGTTATTAGAGAGGGTTACTAGCCAGAGTGAGACTTCATACGGCGTTGAATGAATGCTTGCTTGGGCCTGTTTCTCAGAAAACTGGTAATTTAGGGACTCAAAGTCGTATCTTTTTGGATCTACATCTATACACCGAATTGAAATATGGCGTCCAATTTGCATTACCATGGTTCTCGACTTACAAGCCTCGTTCTCAGGTGGAAACACAAAAGGATTATCACATGTGTGATGTGTGGGCTAAGAAGTCCAGAACAATAGAAATTCAAATTGGACGCCATATTTCGATTCGGTGTATAGAAAAGCAGCTTGGGTTTTGAGTTGTTTGAATTCCAAAACAATCAATATCTCAATCTTGAACAAAAGATCACCTTTCTAGGACCAGTAACGACTGGGAACTTTGAGAAGAGGGCTTACAGTGTGACATACGAAAATGAAAGTCAAATGAGAGTCAAATAGCGGAACATTTTCACCCGTTATGCGTCCTTATTTAAAACATCGTTTGAAGTTTGCAACATTCCTTTTACATTGACGTTACATAAGATTTCTTTAAATCAAAATAATTACCATCTGTAGTCCTGTTGTCACCTTGCTTGTCCATTTCATTCTTACCCTCAGCGTTCAAACAGAAGCTGCTATCTATTTCAAAATCCCCTCCATTTCTCTCACAAGCAAGAGCAAGAAGGTCTAGACCAAAAAAACTGCCACCGTTACCACCCAACGAAAAGTTGAACATTCCCGCCGTGGGTTTTACATCTTTGACAGGCGAGTCGCAAGGAGACACTTCCCTTGATGAGCTGTAATCCATCAACAAACTCAAACCGGAAGAAACTTTCTTGGCCTTCTGTGGCTTGGCTTCGACTAGACCAAACCCGGCCTTCTTGTAGAAGTGATTTCTTCGCTTTTCTTCAGTAAGCCACTCCTGCTCGTGGTCAGCCGGCGATTCGATGCCCAAACTTTCATCGCACATCAAGTTGACATCATCCTCAAAACTGGACTCGCTGTCCCCCGCACACGCTGTTTGGCTCGAAGAGATGGACGAAGTTTCCGTTTTCACAATGGTATTGCTTGTTTCTTTGAAAGCGTCATCCTGGGTCAGCTCCTCATTGGAGAGTTCAGTTATCGTAGTACCATCATCGTTCACGTTAACGCCACCGATTGACTTACATGGGCACGTTTTGCTAATCTTCCAAACTTCCCTCGCTCTGTGTAGTTCATCACCAAGGTCAGATAGAACTAGAAGGTCAAAAGACAGTGGATAAGTTAAATTTCATTCTTAATACGAGGACATTTTTAAGCCTACGTAGTACCCTACGGTTGCATGACATGCTCTCTTCGCATTTGGTCACTTTTCTTTCAGTAGAAATGTTGAAGTTTCTCTCATTGACAATATGTTGCTGAAATGTCAATTGTATCTAGAGTCATCACCAGATTAAAGACTTACACTTGCTTTAGTTTGACGCGTTCTAGCCCAGCAGCGACCAATTAGACTACTACAGTACTTATCGTAAGTAAACATACTGTATTTACCTGTTTTAGGAATGATCTGCGCTACAGATAAGAACTTTGGCTGGTGGCAAATTCCCGGACAGCACATAACCCACTTGAATTCAAACACTCGCTTCCCGACAAGGCCTGTGGACAGAACAGTTAGAGCGGTGAGAAAAACAGATTATGCCCTTCCGAAGTAGAAACGTTCTATGACTATCATCATTAACTTGAAAAGCCACGGCCAAGAATAAAGCACACCGTCGATAAACACCAGTTTCGGAAAGGTATACACAGGGTATACACGCCGCACCCTCATCCCCCCCCTCCCCTACCAACCCGCTAAAGCAACAACGTTCACGCCATTTCACTTGAAACGTGAAAGGGCAAGCTGATGTTTAGCGTTTGACGTAAACACACTTATGGCGGCTACTTGTGATGTTGATCTCTGTTCTACTTGGCCCTGGAGACTATTCTGATTTCGATTTCACGACTTTTCCAACCACCTGTACATCCCGTTAGGTCTACAGTTTGACCTGATGGGCGTATCACAAAACTTACCAGACTGCCTTTCTCGTTCCTGAACACGAAGTTTGTAGCAATCCAAGCACACACCGAACCCACACCTGTGGCACACCCAGTGTACATTGAAAATAGTGGTCGCACAGACATCGCACATTTCCCTTACACCTTGAACAGCTCGTTTGTAGGCCACAGTCACTGATGACGTAAGAGAGCATATTATTTTAGTTCTATCTGCACCAACCACACATTGGCGCTGGCCCGAGACGAGCAATTAATAACTTATGAAAAGAGGAAAGCTTACAACGAATGTTTCTACGGAAGAAAACAAAAACAAAACGGAAATTACTAAACACGCACAAAAAAGCCTTGCCTTACCTTGTTTACTATCTGTTTCCACACAAGTAATTGCCTTCTTTTCTTCCTGCATCACGGAACAAAACTGATCTCCGATATTAAACAAGATGTAAAGAGAAGTCTTCTTGTCGAGCCTGTCGACTGTTAGAAAACAGATCATAATTTTTAAAGTATAACAATAAGCTACGTTCAAACTATATCTTGTAGATAACTGGCTGAAACAAAAAAGAAATATCAAACAACAAACATCATTATGTTTGACAAAGCCGCAAGAGCGGAACTCAAAAAATTCTCAAAGACGTTGTGTTTGTTAAAGAAGCTACGAAACTATTAGGGTTTCTCCCAACCTGTGCCCATCTTGTGCAGTCTTGCTCCTGTATAGTTTGTACTAGTACTTACTTGTAGGGTTTGTCTACCCCGACATACCAAGTTCTCTAATGTTATAAAGCATCGGAAGGATCCAAAATATTTAGTACGATGTAGCTCCTTAAAGTTTCAGCCGGGTAAGAAATTGTGTAAAGAACCGCATACTAACCTTTGTCCTGTGCTACCCAAGGAAAGAAATCTTCTGCAGCGGCATCTTCGGGCAGCTGGAAACCAGCCGATAAGATGGTGCCATTTTTCTTCCTTTTCAACCTTCACCAGAAACACAAAAATCTTAGAACTAGTTCATCGATTATCGAGCGAAGGACTGAGACTCGATTTCTCGTGTGGGTGTCATATATTTTCTTTGTCCAACGCTTGCGATAAGACGGATTGCACAATAGACGTACAACAAGCATTAATATTTACTAACCTTCTGAACGAATTAAATCTACAGCAATCCAATCCATTCCTCTGACTGGGGTGCTCCCTGCAATCTCTACACTTAGGCAAGTCAGGTAAACTGGCACAAATTCGGTCCTACAACGGCAAACGAGAAAGCAAGTCTTTTAAGATCAAGCTGCCAAACAGGAAACTTCACAGAAGAGGTTATAAAGCAGTGTGAAGCATTCTTTGAGTTGACACAACGGTTTCATTAGTGACTCACACATGAGAGCTCTTCAGTGATACAATTCGTTTCCGTAAACAACATCAACCATTTAATCTCTCTTTTAACCTGAATAGGCCCTTGCTTCTTTAAATAGACCGTAATCCATAATCAGCACATCACCTTTGTGATCCTCGTACACACACAATGAAAAGTCATAAAAAAAAACTCTCCACATACCTGCAAAAAGTATTGATCTGTGCACGGTGAGGTCGAATCACCTGCAAAAAAATTACAAAGTGTTCAACTTGAATGCTTTCTTCGATGCATCGAGGTAATCGATTTACCTTAGTCCCCCCCAAAACGCGCCAACGCGCAAAAGTGAGTTTTTGGCGGTAAAAAGTGGTAGCCGCGTTGAGGGTGCGCTTTAGTAAAAATTTCCCACAAATTGGTAAAAACAAGTCGTGGGGAGGTAAGGAAGTTTTAATTTAGCATATTTTTTTCAGTTTCTCACAATTCACCATTAAACCAGACGTACTCTCTTTTGATCAGGAAAATGAAAAGCATATTTTATGGCATAACTTTAATGATTGAAAGCTAAAATGTATCGTGTTTTAAGGAGAAGTTTCGTTCGAAGATACAGCTTCACAAGTTGGAACTACGGTGTAATTGCACACAACCTAACACAAACAAAGTTCTGCTTTAATTTGGCTTTTATCACTTAAAGAAATTCTAAAATGTATGCGTTTCCTATTTGGTAGCATGGCAAAACTTACTTTCACCTGCTTTGTTCTTAACTTCCTTTTTTCTCGGTCTTCCTCGTCCCCTCGCTGGTGCTTTTTCCTTTTCAGACTTGACGACTACTCCTTTCCCTTTTTCCTTCTCTTTCTCTTTTTTAGGTCGCACTGGTCTTTCTTCAGTTTTCGCTGCTTTCGCAAAACAATAGGATGAACAAGAAATGTTACTTTATATGCTATGATAGGCAGAATGCTCAATGACGAAGGGCTAACGCTCTAAACGTCAGCTTTAAAAAGTCTTCACCGTGGCTAATTACCAAATAGACAGTGGGTAAGTTTCTAAAGAAACTGTGGTGCTGTGTTGGCTGGGTAACAAGGTAATTTGGTTTTATCAACTAAGTTGAAATTGTAAATTAGCCACCGTAAAAAGTTAGAAAGCTGACATTTCGAGCGTTAGCCCTTCGTCAGAGCGAAAGTGGTTTAGCATGGTCTGTACTGCTGCGCCTCGTGACTTCATAACATTTTGACCACTGTGATGACGAATATCATTGTCGAGAAGAGAAAAGACCACGCTAAACTACTTCCGCTTAATTGTTTACCACAATATCGACGTGAAATAAAACGATTCTTTCAGTGCGTGACACGCTGCGTGTCACGTTGACGCGAGGAGCGTTGTCTGTACTCTTGTAACCCCCCCCCCCGCCACCCCGACGCAGCACCACAGCTTCTTTAGAAACTTACCTTCTTTACTCCATGACAGGTAGACTAAGTAGTTATCTGTACCGAAACGTTCTTCTCATTTGCGGTACGGCTATTTTATTCAGTTTCATCCTTTACTAAGGCACCTTTCATACCAGCATTTATTACATCACTTAGATAGCGCGAGTGCCCCGATTGCTCAACAACCTATCGTTTCCTCCACCAGTGAATCCACAGTTACTTCACAGAAGCAATAGACCGCACTTTCTATCGGTTTACCTGTGTAATAACCCCCATGGGATGTTGGGAGAACACTCGAAAAGTTTGTAAATTATCCCGCTCGTGATTTACAAACTGTTCTTTATTACCCTAACATCCTGCGTGGATTATTACGCTGGTAAAAACCGTACCAAGTGTGGTTTATTACTTAAATCCTAAGAAATTACAATGAAAATCATGAAGCGGACCAGCATGTAATGTTCTTTTTTTTTTTTTTCCTCACTGGTCCTTTTCTACCGAGGTTCTTCTATTCTTCCATACTTTTCACTGCAATAACTTGTGTGTTTTCTTCTAGATATATTATCACGACTTATTTGTCAAGTGTATCTTCACACTGAAAGCGTATCAATCAACTTTACAAACTGATTAACGAATAACCAAGAGGACGACGCGACCCTCTTACCTAGAGCATTAGTTTGAGGAGTTGTAAACAAACCTTGGTTGTCTTGTTCTTCTGCATAATAGAGAAAAATTTTTTCAGTCAAATCAACAAATGTCGTCAGTTTTTTTTGGCAACACGAATCTCCCAAACAATATATATCAACTTGATCAGTACTGAAGCTGCTATTTCAAGTATCCTTCAGATGGGTAGCTCACCAGCTGTACAGATCTGCTAGATAACGAACAGTACCTTCTTTTAGACGTCTATCGCGCGAGTAAAAAAAAAATTAGAAAAAAAAATTGAAAGGGCCTTTACTTTTCGTGGGCCTCATTCCCAGAGTTCCGCGCGACGCGCTAACATAAATTTTTGTTGAGATGCAATGAATATATGAAGTTCATATATTTTGAACTGCGGTATTAGATACGTATGATGTGCGATCCTCGCAGTAGATAGCGCTATTTATGCAATAGCGAAAATCAGACCTGAAAAAAAAAAGGCCGGTACGGGACTCGCTCGAACCACTGACCTCTGCGATACTAGTGCAGCGCTCTACCAATTGAGCTAACAAGCTTGTTCGCTCAATTGGTAGAGCGCTGCACTAGTATCGCAGAGGTCAGTGGTTCGAGTCCCGTACAGGCCTGATTTTTTTCAGGTCTGATTTTCGCTATTGCATAAATAGCGCTATCTACTGCGAGGATCGCACATCATACGTATAAATTTTTGTTTACACCCATTTCTTTTTTTACTCACGAAAAGCAAGGGTCTGTTCGTTGTCTAGCCTTTAAATAGCAAAAAGGGTTATGATTCTAACCTCTGTATCGGAAGTGCGTAAACATTCAACAGAGCTGAGAAACGTTTGTTTTAGATTTACGAATGTAATGTCAAAGAAATGATTACTGAAATTGGAAAGCGATTTATAAGCTTTTTAAAAATTCATTCACAGCACTCACCATCCGCCTTGTAAATAACAGCAATTTCTTCATCTAGCACTGAGTCCACCACCGTCTCAAGACTGTCTGCAGTATCTGATTGCTTAACAGTAACAGAAGGTAAACCAACACCTCTTTGCTGTCTCTCTTTATTCCTTTCCTCCTTTACTTTTAACTCTTTTTTCTTGCTTGTGATCTCCCTGATTCTCTCTTTACTTCTGTCGTTTTGTCTTTCAGAGTTCACTTTCATTGCCCCAAATTGGTCCACCGGCGCATCTTTCGCAGTCGGACTATGGTTTATCGATACTTCATCCACTACTTGATCTGCAACAAAGCTTACAGAATCCACATGATTTTTATCCTCCTTCCTTTTGGTGATGTTATCTTTGAGTAGCAATTTTTCACCCGTCTTATGTCGAACATCATCAACGTTATTGGATATGTTTTCCTCCCGCCTTGATCTCTTTACCAGCACATTGTTTGCATCAGCTGAGTATTTCCTCGAAGCTTTAGTCCTTTCTGACGAAGACAAACTGAGCTGAGCTTGGCTTTGTAAAGGTTTTTCCTCCAGATGCGAATTTGTAAGCTTTTTGTTTAATCTTTTCGCAAGTTCTGCTTTGTTGTTGTTGGGAACATCTTTCAAACGGCCAATCTCACCTGATTCCTTGTTGTCCATCGTCAAAACCTTTTTAACAGTAGAATTGTCCTCTACAAGGTTATCTTCCGAGCTCAATTTCCGTTTGGTAAGAGTGGCTTTTTTTAAATATGTTTTAAGTCCGTCGCCACTAAATAAGTCACCATAATGGTCAGCAGAATTTGAAGACGAAATCGAGGGACAGTTTTTCGTGAGCAAAGGTGTCACTTCTGAACTCAAGGAGGGTTTCTGTGACGCAGCAGAGGTATCGATCTCCATACACTTAACACCCATTCCCTCCAAGTCTTTCTTGTCGGTAGCACTATTACAGCTAAGACTCGACGATTGTTCATTTGAAGAATCGTTACTCGGAATCTTTGTGAATCCCTTCTTTGAAACCCTTAAAGTTTTCCCTCGAATCTCCTCTTTCTTAGTGGAACTGACTTTAGGGACAATGGGGCCCTCTATCACTTGTGCTACCATCTCTTCTCTGGCTAAAGCTGTAATGTTGGGACTCTTAGTTGTTTTGTCATTTACAAACATTTCCTCTGAGCTTTTTCCATCTAAGATCGTTGATGGTTCGTTATTCAAATCCCCCCGAGTGCCTGTAAAACCTTCTATAGACTCGGTTACATTGCCAATTAGACTTAATGTCTGAGGTACATCATGAGTTGCCTCATCTGGGATCCATGGTGCAGCACCTTCATAAAAGGCTCCTTTCCTTTTATCACCTGACAGCACATTTGGTTTGCTCTTACCAACATTACTCTCTTTCTCTGATCCAGATGTCTCCCCTTTGGCCTTAAAAGCAGTTTCATCACCCTCTTTGACAGTAACTATCATATCACTTCCTTCTTTTCCACGATTTTTGTCCACCTCACCAAAACTTAAATTTTTATGAAAAGTTTTATCATTCAGAACCTCTTCCCTATTTTCTGGAGTCAATTTATTTGAAGATGAATTTGGACAATTCACGACGGTTAATGATGACGAAATGACATCCGTGGAATTTCCTACAGACGAGGTAGAAACTGAAGGAGAATTTTTCACCTTCTCGCTGTCTCTTTGAACCGAAACACCATCCTTAGGTTCCGTTGACCTTCTTCGTCGCTTACTCCTCTTCTCTTCAACTTTAGATTTCTTTGTCTAAACGAAAAACATTTCCACTGTCACTCTTATGCGTTAATCTAACCCTTTAATTCCCAGATGTGATTAACATGTAACTTCTCCCATACGCTATCCAGCAAACAAGCAATGAAAACACTGAAACCTTTTAGGAAGAAGTTGTTTTCTTGATCTACCACCAAATTCTCGTAACTAATTCTCAAGGAAACGTGTGGGAGCTAAAGGGGAAAATTAACAATTGGATCTTGGAAATGAAACAGTTAAGAAAACTGACAGATATCACTAAGGGAAGAAAGGGATTCACTTGGCTTCTTTGTAAATAGATTTACTCTATATAGAAACTAAGGTGTACACTGGTCGATGGGTATCTCAAAATTATAGTGTGTAATTTGTTGCGCATCCCAGTTTAGACCTTATTTAATTTTTTGGTTGAAAGAAAAAAGGTTGTCCAGTCCAAAATAAATACTCTCAAACCTTTGTTGACGATTCTCTTCTGCTAATCTCCGCAGCCTTTAAGTGATCTTGCAATAGTTTCTCAATAGTTGCTGTAGTGGATGTCAACTCAATCTCCTCCACATTTTTGTTTTCGGTAGGCTTTGGACTCTCGGAAGATGCCCCTGCACTTGGTTCATTTTCAGATTTATCTTCGCCGATGTCATTAGGAGAAGAAGCTTGTTCTTTTACGCTGGGTAAATGGTGCACGGTATATGTTGATGAACTTGGCGATGGCGAGAGAGTTGATGGTGAAGCATTTCGTGTAGTGGAGGAACTGCTGCATGAGGCCTCCTGCTTTGGTTCCTGCTTGGGTTCCTGCTTGGGTTCCACAACTTGGGTGGATGATGACGATTTTGGTAACTGAAGAAATTTCTGTAAATTCTCCTATTGTTTTCAAAGAAAACTTTACATCACTTTAATTGTAAGAATGTGAAACAAGCTTCTGCATGAAAAAAATCATTAAATGAAATAAAGGCGTGACCTCAGTGCTACAAGTAATCAGTTTTTCGCGTGACCAGCGCTCCAAAAAAAATCATTTATATTTGTCCATGCAAATGTAATAGAAAAGCCTTCCGTGAGAGTAATTTAATCAAAGAAATATAAAGAATCAAGTAATTATTCAATTAATGTATGAGTCAAATGCAATGATTCGCCTTCTTGTCTTCAAAAGTTTTGGGAACTTTTCCTGTTCATTAGTTGCCACAGAGGCCTCCCAAAAATTCCCTTTTTAAACCCTTTACGGTACTGAACGGAAGAATTTGTTTCACAATCAAGAGCTTCTTCGTGATCAATTCTTTTACGCTTATGACATTCATCATTACTTGATTCAAGGGTTACGCTGTAAGCAGAAATTAGAAGCCAGTCACTCAAGGGGTTAAAATAGTGGTAATTGTCCAAAGAAAATAAGAGCAATCTTAGAGAGGGGAAAATACCATTTGAAAGTTAAAGTTTTTTTTTTCCTCCTAACACTATAGATACTAAAATGATTAAGCTCTAAATTGTCTGAGGGGGTAAACCACATAATAACTGTAATTTTAAAAGACCTGATACTGCTGATGACATTGTTGTAGTTTCTGCTTCTGCTGTTCACACTCTGGCATCTCCCTCTGTGCATGTGTTAGTCTCTTTTGCTCCTGTTGTTGCTGTAGCAGTAAAGTGTAAAGCTGTTCTATTTCCTTGGCTGTCATACTCTTCTGCTGCAAACATGTGAAAAGTGTGTGTAGTTGATTTGGCTCAAGCCGAGGTGTGAGTTCCTGCAACCACTGTTTCTGTTGTTGCTGTGCCTCTCGCAGCTGCTGCTGTATTCTTTCTGGAAGAGAATGAATGTCACCCTCCCCAGGATGAAAGTTGGACAACTGCTCCTCTTGAGTAACAGCTGCTAACTGCTGAAAGATCTGTGCACACTGAAATTGATAAAGGAGCTGATTGTAGTGTTCTGCTAATGTATGCTGTTGTTCTGCAGTGAGTGGCATCTGCTGGATGAGCTCTTGTTGCTGTACCATCAGTTGAAGTTGATAACAGTGCATCTGATACTGTTGTAGCAGACTTTGGTAGTGCTGATGCCGCAACTTGGCAAGAAACTCCGGTTGTTCTTGTGCTGGCAACTGCTGCTGTTGTTGACACTGTAATGCATACATATGATTGGGTGAAATGTTAAGTCTCATAGCATGCTGGTACAGAGGATGAGGACCTTGTGTTCTTGAATGTGCTGCATGACCTGGTGAACAAATACCCATGTGGGATATTCCAGCCATAGGACTTGCTATGCTTGCCACAGCTGATAAATCAGGAGAAGAACAGAATGCATGGCCCCTAAAGGGGCTACCCATAGCACTCATGCTATGATTGGAGGCAGGTGAAGAATTATATGATAACACTGATGGCGGTGATGTTTTTGGTGACATTTTTGGTTTAAGAGGTGATTTCTTTGAAAAACTTGATGGAGGTGATCCAACAGAACTTGAGGAGCTAGAGTTCATTACAGGAGAAAGATTTGCATCTGGCAGTGAAGTCTTGTTGCTGAGTTGGTGGTGTGAGTGAGATGCTGTTGGATGGTTTGACATCAGGGGAGAGGCCACTGAAGATGTGAAAGATGACGGAAGTGTTTGTGATGCTGGTTGAAGAGTATCAATGGATGCAACTGGGCTGTTTGAGTTTGACCTGGTGATTTTGCAAGAGGTAGGGGTCCGATTTCTACAAAAGAAGAAAAGAAAGAAAACAAAAAAGAAGCTGATTAACTCCCAGAAAGCCTAAAGAACTTATTGTTCAGCAAAGAGTTTTATTGTCAAAGTCAGAAAACCCCTAAAATCTTACATTTTCATCTAAAATGGTTTTTTTTTATATTTAATGATAACCTTTCTCATACTTGGTTTGTTTTTCTCAACGCAAAAACAATCGATGTAAATTTTTGGTGCTCATGTTTTTTTTTTTCTTATTTATTTCTAAAGCAAATGTACTGAACTGTTGTTAATAATATTGTAGCAAAATAAGTGAATTGTACACATTATATATTGGGTAATTCACTTCATTTGTTTATTGATAAAGAATGTGAAGATGACTGAATCAAGGATGTTTCCAAAATAACAACCATAAACAAAGAAAATTGATGTGTGGCAGACAGGGAGAGTGGTTGGATAAAATGTCTGAAGAGAAATAGAGAACCAGGTAGTAGCCCTATTCTCTCTGAAGGATAGGAAGGAACAACAATGGTAATAATGATGAAAGAAAAATACATGTCAGGTACAGCTGTAAGTGTGTGACTATAGAACAAGAAATATACACTGCACCTTGTTTCAGTAGACTTTCTTCTCTCTTTGCCAGGCTTTATACCTTGTGAATTAGAGGGTGAACATGCAGTGCTCAATCTAGCACTTGTGGAATCTAAAGCTGATTGGTAAACTGGTGTTGTGATGTTTGCCAGGTTGTTTGTGTTATTGTCTTGTGCTAATCCAGAGTACAACTGCCATGACTACAGGCCAAGGGAAACAAGAAGAAATCCAAGGTAAGTTTTCAATTACAAGTGCTTGTTAATTAAGCTAGGGTGTCAAGTTCCATAGAGACCCCTCCTATTTAATTCAACCTACTTTCCCTTTCCCTGAACTAAAATTCTGGAGAAAAAGGCATCATAATGCCATACAGATGGATTTACAGTACTTTGGGGACTAGCCAGCATTTCAGGAAAAAATAAACAAGTATTTGCATGTGTTTTCTTCAGAAGAATACACCAGTTACATGTTTTTGTAGAAATCCAGTAAACTTCCTACCGATGGGGATGATGAAGAAAGAGAACCAGATGTTGATTGTGTAGTCAAAGGAGCAGTGATGACAACTTGTGAGTGGCGATGTTGTCTCATTGGCAAAACTCGCACTACATTTAGCTCCCCTCGCAACAGACTGTCCAGTTCTGCCTCTGCAAAACAAGGACCAAATACACACATGTCATACATAATTATCAATCAAAGCTATCAATATGAATTGCTTCAGCATATTTGTTACAAAATTAATATGGTGCATCTGATACTTTAAGCCTCCTCCAAAGCCGATTCTCCATTACCCACTCTACAGGTATTTGCAGCCTAGACAAGGGTCTCTGATCTCATACAAAAAGATGTTATTCAGAGTTCTCCAGAGATTTTTTTGTAGCCAGTCAAAAAGATTTCTATTTTTTTTCCAACTCCTAATTCAAGGACTTAGCAAGGTATGAATAAGCAAATCAAAAGACGAAAAAAAATTTGTAGTACCTTCACCAGGAGTGACTTTTGTCATGTACAATTATCTTACCATTTGCAAGAAGAATAACTTGGACAAGTGTTGGATCAACTCTGTGAGTCTGTAATACCGTGTCATCCATTACACTTAATTCCTGAAAGGTAATGCTAAGAAGTCAGTGGTAATTTCTGATAATTTTGGTAACTCCAAAGTTGAGTTTTTTCTCCCTCATACCTCCCTTATCTATGGACTTATTTTGACCACATTCATAACAAACTTACCTAAAGTGTGAGTGAAATATGAAATTAAAAATAGCATTGTAATAGAAATCAAACTTCGGATGTACCATCCCCTTCCCCCTGTATTGTAAAGGTTTGAATATTTTTTAGTAGATTTTGTTTGTAGAGCAATTATATTTTTAATAATTTTATGAAAACAAAAATGCATGCATGCCCCTTTAGAAATTGGTAATGGATATATAATCACCTTGCACTGGGTGAAAAGAGACATATGGCACTATATTAAACCATTCCTAGTGCATGTAATCTAGTAAAATGTACAAATAACATTTACAGATCACCTACCCTGGAAACAATGTCATGTGCTGTTATTACAGCTGAAAACCACTGGCGGCAGCTTTGCCTACATTACAAAAATAAATAAATATATAAATGAGAAAATAAATTTCTGTTGCAATCACAATTCAAACATTTTCCTAGATGTTTAAAATTTGACACAGGCTGCTGCCATTTTGAAAATAACTCAGTAACCTGGCCACACATACAAAAAGTGTCAAATTAAATACTACACTTTTTAATGCTGGAGATAAAATTGTCTGGTTTCAGGAGTTTACTTTGTTTTTATTAGTATAATGCAATGACAGAGTTTAGAGAGTTGATAGTGTCATGTTTAATTGTCAGTTTAAGTAGATGATTATTCAGGATTACAGTGTACCATAAACTGAGGAGTGGAAGGATCAGTTGGCAAGAGCTTTGATGAGTAAAAAAAGGAAGGAGCTTTTAAGGTCTACATGTTGGTGTCCAGAAAACTATGAAAAAACTCACCTGTAAACTTTGACTCTAAAACCAGTTAAAGTGAACGGCCCTTAAAAGATAAATTTCATGAATGTTGAGGTTAAATTTTAATCTCTAGCAAAATATTTTCTACCCATGATTTTTGTGCAATCTCCAGACATACCTTTTTGGTTGCACAAGATAAGGTCTTTCATTAATAACAAAAGAAAAAATGTAATTAAAAAATGAAACTCAGCCACATGTCCTTTACAAATTACATGTAACAAACCTCAGTGCTGAGGAAAATGAAAATATTGCAAAAAAATTTGTTAAGTGTGAAGCCATAGCAAAAAGGAAGGCAGGGTTCTTTAAAGAACAAACTGCTGAAGCTTTTGCATCATAAAGAAAATACCTTTCATAAGAATTGACTGAGACTTCTGCAAAAGTTGCCATCCTTGCAGTTCATGTACTACAGCCAAATTATTTCTTAGAACTGGGTGGAGGGCATCATCATCCTGCAAAAGGCCAACATTAACCAACTAAATTCTGTATACATGTTATTTAATAATGAGAAAAAAATCATTACCCTTTTGTTCTCAACTATATTTGTCTTAATGCCCTACAGGGTGTATTAACATAATTGCTTTGAATTCTCAACAAAGAGAGCTAATCAAACTCCATAAAAAGATTGATAAAATTGTCACCTTTATCAAAAAGGTTGACAAAGTCTATCCATGACATTTCTTGGAACTTTGTGCTATTTCAAAATGCAGTAGAGAGTTAAAAACTCTGTTAATCCAGGCAACATTACATATTTTACAACAAAAATTTGCTACACCTGAAAGCACTTTTTGACATTCAGTAATACCTGGCCATAAGGACGAAACTCATCACTCTTCAAGAATGCTCTACAAGAGAAAAGCAAACTAAGGGATTTGATCAAATGCAAATACATAATGTAAAGCTGGTTACACACTTCACAATTTTATTTGCCAATCATGGAGAATTTGATTGCCGCTGAACAATGCCAATATCTGACATGCCAGATATCAGCCATATTTTTAAATGCAGATAGTGGCAATCAGCAAAAAGTACAATTGCTGCCCAGGCACACTTCATCATTTCACTGATCACAGTGATTACTGTATAAAATTGCCAAGTGTGTTGCCAGCTTAACAGAAATACACAACTCAAAAATATTGTATATCATACTATTTGTCCATGAATGTTTACATTTCTTGCATCCATATCCGACACATAGCCGGTCTTCATTTAACACACCTGAATAAAGGACACTAAATCCAGACCTTAAACTTAAATGAACAACCCTCTCTAATAAATATCCCTCCCTCAAAAAAATTTGCCATCCTTGCTAGGAAAATGACGTAGACATAGATAACAACTGGAAGTTGGAAGAATCAAGGCTCAAAAAATATTTGAATTACACCTTGCCCATTGGGCAAGTAACCCTTAAGTTTTGCTTGCCCAGGGTACTTCTTTGCTTGCCCAAGTTTTCGAACTAATCAATAATTCATGAACAGCGATTTACCTGGATTTTACCTGGATTTTAGTATCAAAGGGCTAGCTTCGTTTTAGCAGTAGAAATATGTGACTTCTCAGTTTTCACGTACAACTTCTACAGGTTTAATTAATATATCACTGTTGAGTTAAGTTTTGTACAGAGAAACCGAAACATTCTCGCAGGAAATTGCTACAATTAAGAAATAAACACAGCGTTTTCATTCCCAACGCGGCTATTTTTATCCTGGAAAGAAATTTGATTGGGGAAGATTTTGATCACCTGCTAGGCAACCACTTCTGAGCCGTGAGCGCACGTCATGCAATCAACAAAACAACGCTATAAATTGTAATTTTCATCAAGCTTCATCTAAACACTTGGTTACCCTTGGGCCTAAAGCTTACCTTTTCTTCTCAAAATCATTATCAAAAATTTAGGCGGTGTACAGCTTGCCCACTGGGTCCTTGCCCGTCAGGCAAGGAAGGATAGAAAGTTACTTTCCCGAAGGGAAAATCTACCTGTCCCAGATGACCGGACGAGGGTTTTTTTAAGCCCTGAGAATATCAGAAATCCAACAAAATTTTTCAGGTTGAAGAAAAATTCAACATTATTTCAAGGAATTACTTTATATTTCAAATTCCCTGCTGGAAATTGCCAAAATCAAGCAAAAACCTGTGGTGTGCCATCTTATTTACACAACTTTCCCTTTCAAAAGTCTTTCAGTCATATTTGCATTGAAGGCTTTGGCAAACAAAATAATCATGAATGTAAATTTATCATGGTGCACCTTTCATGGTCCCCCACAAACTCCACTGGAACAGGCCGTTCTTCATCACTCAATCCATGTTTATCAACAAGGGGGACAAATGTCTGTAAAGAGACAGTCGACATTAAAGCTTATCATTATGATTTTGAGTCAACAAGCAAGTCAAAAATGCATTTACAAGAATAATCCCCAATTAAGTTATTATGTTAGTTCTGAGAATTTTGTATTGGATCAACTAATAATCCCTAATTTATATTTGTCTTTATTACAACCATTTTGAAATCACTGGTGGTCCCTGTAATCTGATTGGCTTTAACTGGTGCGATTTATTCACGAATCGCACCATTTTTGCTCTTAATCGCATCATTTTACGCTTGACTGAGTTTTTGACACATGACGTCAAAGTCTTTCTGTCTTGCATAAAAAATAAGATGTAAAAGCATTTCTGGTTCCGCTTTGTATTTAAAAGCCAGCTCAGTACTGCATCAGTAAAATATTTGAATTGACCAAGTCCTGCATTTGGGCGATTTCTAAATGGATGTAATAAAGTGGTAATTGAACCTTGTGTTGTGCAATTTTGGTCTGAAATCATACTTGGGATTTCAAATTGAACTCGTGCTGCGTGCTTGTTCGATTTTGAAATCACACCTATGATTTCAGCCCAAATTGCACTCCATTCAGCTCAATTACCATTATTAATTCTCATCACTTGTGTGCTTGATATTTGATATTGTAAAGAGAAATTCTGGCTCAGTCACTCATGCGAGTAGCATTACTAACCAACTGTAATTGCAGTATTAAATAGTTAGAAATTAACCTAAATAAAATATCTGTTGTAAAAATAGTTAAGAACATAACTAGAAATTAAGTGGAATGGTTATGGAGAGTATATAATTTTCAAGGTGTATTTCTTGTATGCCTATGGTTCAATTCAGTATTCATTAAATGTTCACTTGCCTCTTCCTTGATACAATAATGATAAAGATACTAAAATGGTAGAATTGAATACTCTATTTAGCTTGATTACCCAAGCCCCAGCAGAGACACAGGGGAGGAATGAATTTAACAGAACTAGTGAGTGCAAAGGGCAAGCCCATTTTCTTTAAAAAACACAACAGTAAGTGATATTTTGAAAGTTTCTTTTTAGCATTAAAATGTCTATGTTGCCATTTGTTTTTTAAAAAAAGATGATTTTTAAATAAGCACCACCCTTTATTGAGATAAGCCACATGTATTAAATGCTTCACATGGTTCCTCATTGTAAGCTATAGATGATCTGTATCTTACAATGAGGGACTAGTGAGATACCTTAACTAGTAGTAAGAGTGGTGAACTAAGAGCTGCAAGGCTTCATAAATTCATCACAATACTATTCATACACTGCACTAGTTTGTTGATTATCTATTCTAGATACAAAAATAACTGCCAAGGTTAAATTAAAATCACAAAATTCTCCTACCAAAGCCGGCCATAGAAGAGGTCTCTTTGGGTTGGAGGGGTCTGGTCTTTGACTCCAAACCATGGTTTGTTCCACCAAGAACAACCTCCAGCTCCCATCATGTATTTTAAGCCATTCCCTAGTTGTCCATTCTTCATTGTCATATTCAACTAGGACCTTCAATAACGAAATAAGACAAAATATCTAAATTGGTTTGCAAACTGACACAAGTAAGACATACACTATCATCATGTAACATGCTTTTAAATGATCTCACCTCGTCAAGCAATTGAAATTCAATTTGTATTAGTTTAGCAACTTAATAACCCAACTGGGATAATGGAGGACAATGTAAAGTTTTGTAATCAAAGGCCAAAGGCCAATGGCTAGTGACCAAAAAAATTTTTTAGTCTTCTCTTAAAATCCTAACCAAAGGTTACCATACCAAAAAAAAAGAAAAAAAAAAAACTGAAAGTTGTGGGTTTAGCAGTACATATATACTGATCGGTTTTGGACCAATTAGAGCACATGGAAAATCTCAGTCAATTAAATATCTAGCAAGTAATCATGGAGCCTTAAATGTCTTTGTGAGAATTCCTAATGGTACATATTAAATAATGTAATTTGTCAGATCAGTGGTGCCAGTCAGTCCAGCTGGAAAATGAACTCTTTTTAAAACTATTTAGCTTCAATAAACAAATGTTATCACTAGTCATAAACCACATTGTGAATAAAGCTGGTGAAGCACCCTTAAAAAAATTTATACTCTTCCTGAATTTATCATAAATAGTTTGGTGAGTTGCAAGCAGTTACCCTCATTGTGCAAAGGTGGGTATCAAAAGCAAAAATGCAAAGAGCAACAAAATTGTCTGATGTACAAACTGAACTGGGAGAATTTATTTTCTTACTGGTACAAATACATACTTCCTTAATTCTCCATTAACTTTTCTTAATGTGATATAGGAGAGTAAGCAAGATATTGTTCAAGGATTCATGTTTAAAACCTGTCTTTTGTTGTTGATCTTATAACAAACTTGAGTTGGTGGAGGTTATAAAAATGTCACTTGAAATTTCGTCTATTTTCTGACCCTTTACTTAATAAAATAGATACATGGAGAATAATTAAACGAGGTCAACAGATCTGTACACAGCTCTTGATACGATCGATTTGGCTCATATCAGAAGCCAACGAGCTAGGCATGTAAAAGTAATTGTAAAGTTATTCAGTTACGGGCACAATACAAGAACAGTTGACGCTGAAGACACGCGATCGCAGACATCTTTGGACGAATTGAATATGAAGGGAATAAAATAAGATCCACATATTCCAATAAAAGAATACCAATTCAAAAATATTAGTGTATCAGTGTGATGCACATTTCAAATCGCGATCACGCACGTTTATATTAAGAGGCGACATTCTCACTCAAGAACTACCAATTATTTGGATACGGAATGTAATAAATTTAAAAGAATCATGTTAGTTCACAAGATCTAGTGGTTAGAGAAAATTCTTTTTTCACTTATATTAAACTCTTCACTGCAGGATAGATTCAGCGTTAAGAAATTTCATGCTACGGTGGTTTTGACAAAGCTTGCATTTACAAGAAGTTTTTGCATTCAGTTCATTGGAGAGTACTAACGAGCGAACAATTCAGCACCAGTTGCGTTTAAGCCGGTATACCGTTTATTCAAAGTCTAAAATATGTACCTTTTGTCTACTAGCGGAAAATCAGCTAAGAATAGACCGTTTTGCTCAAGGAGATCGACTCTTATTTTTAAACAATTGCTCAAGTATGTTCAATGAACAGTCAAAGCCAACCAACTACAACGTTGTTCACATCGACACTGAAAACTGAAAAAAAATGCCCTAACCTTCAGCTCTGGATGATTGAAATCCTTTTCACTGCAAACTCTGATTACTCCGACTTTCCACTGATAGTCCAAAGGGTTTGCCACGCGCCTTGATCGAGAGTTTGGGCGAAGAGTATTTTTCTCCCGGACACACAAAAAGCGCTTACCAACCAACTCTGCCTGACGGAAAGCGTACATGGCGTTTCGCGCTCTCCATCAAACACGCAACTCTCTCGAGGTCCACAATAAACACATCATTAGAAACAGCATCGATTAAACACTTGAGGGATTCTTGCTGAAGAAGAAGGCGTTTATGCAAAAAAAAAAACCTTACAAACACAATAAGGGAGAAGTATTTGTACGTTCAAAATTGGCCATCACAAATGCATGACTCCAAGAGAGCTGCTCATTGGTTTGGCGCGTGTGCGCTGAACCAGTATCTGCGGGCTCAGATTTTCGAAAGCTGAGAAGAACCGGTCGCAAGTGTGACCGTTGACAAGGAGTCACTGCAAGCTCTTGAAAAATGACAAAATCGGAAGTAAAGGTTCTTAGAAAGAGTTGGTTATCTCAGATGAGAATAAATTTATTTTTTGTTTCCCTGCTTCCTGCTTCTGCGATGATTAAAACAGAGATTGCAGGGGCCGCGGAGGGGGAGGGGCTGGTAGGGCCGCGGCCCCAGCACTTTTTTGCGCCCCCGCCCCCACTTTTTGCGCTAAAATAAAAATAATTAAGAATTTCGGTATCTTCACTGATACCGACCTATAAAGGGCAACAAATACTGGATAAAGTATGCAAAGTCACTGACAGAAACAAATTAAATACTATGATTTTATTCCTTTCTTCGATTTTCAATATGAAAGAATTATTTTCAATTGTCAACCCTCTCACTTTACACCTTGCTCCGCGGTCCCTGGATTGATAGGAGGTAGTGGAGTCCAGGTATCGTTGGTGGCCCACGACATGTGAAAAACCTGAAAAGCCTAGGAACATTAAGTCTTTTACAAATGAAAAAATCTTACATCTCGTGTGCAGATGTGGATGAAAGGTAACTGAAAAAAAGATGTTACCAATTAAACTTGAAGTCAAATAACACCCTAATGCGCTCAGCCATTCGATATTCCACGTGATCTCTAGGTGGAATCAGATCATTGCCGTTTTGAATCTTTTCCATTCATTATTACGGGTGAAATTTGAGATCTGCGCAAAAATTAAGGGTTTCAAACAATCAGTACATAACCAGATAATTTTTGATCGAAAATTTGCACGTGGATCTTTCCATTAAGTGACGAGCGAAAAAATGGATGACCTTTACGCTTTACAGGTCTGGCTCTTATTTCACTTTCATCTTTGGTTAGCATTTTAGTTTAGAGCTGCCTAAGCAATGAAAATAAATTCTTCGACTTTTATTGAAAATACTATGATGAAAAGTTGATAACGGCAGCTCAAGGAGGAGATGCGTTGGGAACCCGCTGAGCTGGCTTCTGTATTCTCTTTGGGCGGGATCCCGGTGCGATTAAAACAGTTCGTCTAATTTCAGGCCTCGAAAAATTAAGATAAACTTAAGCCAAAACAAGCAGTGAAATTATTCACTCATGGATAGTAATGCATGGTACGTAGAGGAGTTTTCGACCTCAAGAACTTATTTTAAAAAGATATTCTAATTGATTAAAGATCAAGTCCTTGTTCGTAATGCTAACTTAAGTAATTAAAGACGCATTTTACAAAAATCGAAACATTTTAATTTTAATCAGATTACTGGAGATACGTGTATAAGCGCCCCCCGGCCCCCGAAGACTGCACGGCCGGAAAGCCTATGTGACGGCTAGGATCCTTGCAATCGCAGTGATGCCCCAGAGACATAGTCTCTTGCGCAGCCGCTCGTGAAGAAACCAACAACGGCTCCGAAGGAAACTAACTGAAACCAAGCATTCGAGACGTCTTGTGTTAGAGCCTGACTTAATTGATTGTTAGAAAATGAGTTAAACTTAAATATAATTATTACTAACACCTCTATTTTACAAGTACCAGGCTTTTTGTCCTGGTATAGAATTGAGGTTATCTGAGGTACATGTCAGACAAGGTTATTTTGGGATCCTGATGGTTCCATTATGTTCGACTGTAAAAATTCTGCGATTCCGATGGCCACTGACTACATCAACTTTTGTAGTTTCATTTTCACTGTATTGCGAAGTTGAAGATTACTATCTGCCGTTGGCTTTTCTTTCAGGCAAGAGCCATCGTAAGGCATAGTCTTCTTCGCAACTGTTCTTTAGCATGTCACGCAATACTTTAGGGAAGCGTTGCGTGATATCCCAAAGAAAGACTGCGCGAGACTTATGCAAGGAGCAAGGAGAATCTTAGGGTTCGCACAACACCATGTAAGCCAGGAAGAAGAGAAGATTTCTTTCAAAATTAAACACGCTGCAATGCAAAAAATTCCCCTTCAAGGAAAATGCTGCCTAAACCTCTGCAATATACAATCATGTTAACTTGCTCATGAGGTCTGTAACAAGTTGTGCCAATATTCCAGCATATTCAGAACTTTCACTAGATTCTGGACCACTGGCATTTTTGAGCCACTCCAGTTTGAGTTTCTTTAGGCTGTTCTGCACATGAGCCTTTTGAAACTCACTTTTACATCCAGTCACCATGACGTGAAGGGCCTGTAGAACTTTCTCTCTGGTGTCATTTTCTGTAGTACGTAGAAGACTGGGTATAAGTTGGCACCAGCCTTTTTCAACCATACTTTTTAGCAAAGGGACCCTGCAATCAAGAAAAAGCATTAAAATATATTCTTTTCTACTGATCAGAGCAGTGTCTAATCTTGGTAATGCCTGATTTCACAATGTCACCGCATCAACAAAAGTCTTAGGGCCTTAATATCAGCAACCTTGGAAATCATTCCCAAGCTGTTTTAAACTCATCGTATTCTAATGAGAGTTCCCTGTAATTTTTACATGAAGCGTGACTGGGTGAATTTTTTTTGTAAAAAAAGCCATAATTTTGAACCATTTTGTATTGTGTGACCAACTTCCAGCTATTTTATTGTTTCAAAATGTATGTATTGTTCTTGAATGGCTCTGGTTCGGTTTTGACCAGGGTTTTGACTGTATATAAAATTCAAGTCATAAAACTGATTACAAATTATTCTTGAATGAATAAGATAAGACATTACATTCTCTTTGTTGCATAAGACTAGTCAAGACTAGAAAAAAATATCAAATTAAGAATTTGGCTTTTTATTCTTATGTGAAACGTGATCGTATCTCAAAACTTTAAAGAGTTCCGGATATTTTTCAAAATGTGTGAAAAGGCCAAATATTTTTATGTGACTGAGTTTTACAAAGGGGCATAAGGGCCCCTTTATGATTATTGGCAATAGCTTCACAACATTATAATTTCTGGTTTTCAGGTTTTTATAAAAAAAGCAATCCATTACAGGTTCTTGTGGAAAAAGTACATATTTGGTTCACAACTTGATATGATGCCACAAGAAATAAATGTTAAGAACCAAAATATAACTTTTTTAGTAAAACTTCAGTTATTCACAGTAATTCTTTGATCTTTATTGATCAAATTGTGAAAATGCTAGCTCCATGTTGTGACTTCATCTACAACAAAGTAGAGTTCCTCAACTTTCTCTCCTGCTACAGATGAAATATTGGGTTTAGAGGAAAATAACTAAGGCCACAGGAATTTAACAATGTTTATTCACTACATCAATAAAAAAAGTATATTGATCTGTTTTGACTAGTCACTTGGTAGAGGGAAATAATCAAACTAGCCTATAAAAAGACTATATTTAAATAATAAGGGCTTTCCAAATGCAAGGCACCATAATCAGAAAAAGAAATATAAACCATACCTTCCAGAGATATCACCAGACACATCTTGCCCTCGCTTTCTCAGCAGACTTGTGACATGTTCAATTTGTTCTGTAAGTATATCTGTCATCAGAGTGATTGCTTTGATAACCAGAGGTTCTGTGCCTGCCTCATCAAAGAGTTTAACAAACATTTCAAGTCCATTCAGCTTAAGAAATTCTTTCTGCCCCATCAAAAACAGCCTGAGTAGGGAGGACAGCGCATACATGGCTTTCTTTCGCACAACCATAGGTTCACGTTTGGACAACAAGCGAAGAAGTAAAGGCAATGCTCCCTGATTCAAGGCTGATTGCTGAACCACTAGATTGCTGTTTTGGACAAGCAAAAAAAAATTAATAAACAATGAAACAAGTGAAAAAATAGTTTGCCTCTCAACTCTGCAGCAAAGCTCCAGTTTTTGTTTAGGAGGATTGGGAACAGGGGGCCTGGGTACCTCCCTCAGATCCACAGGCTTGACTTTTCTGCTATCTTCTTGGATCTGTAATTTAAAGATTTTGGAATCATTTCCTGAAAAAATTGGATGTCTATCAAGTCTGATAGATCCATCACTGGGAATTTTCTTTACGAAGGTCAGCCACATGATCAATTAAATAATTTCATATCCAGAAAACTATCCTTTATGACAAGAGCAAATAATCTACCTCTGTGCTGCTGATCCCAAAACATAACACGCCCTTTTTCTTAAGCTCTCTTCAGAAGAGTTCATAAACTTTATCACCAAGGAGAGTCCACCAATGCTATCCAAATCTCTGGCATTATCTATCTGATGGACATAATACTCAAGCTCATCTAAGGCATGCTCCTTTTCCACTAAACTGGAACTTGAAATGTTAAGGATCTGAACATGTTTTGAAATTTCTTCAATATCCTTTTTCAGAAAAAGATCAACTCCTTCCAATTCCTTTCGGATTTCATCTATTGACCTGAATGTTTTTCCTAAAACAAATGAAACAAGTGAAGTGCACTGTGAAACCTCACTCAATTCAGGAATCACCCTTAGTGAATGACTCTTAAAGACTGCTCAGTAAAGGCTACCTGCTTAATATAGATACTTAAAGTTCTATCTATTGTGATTGGTTTTTAAAATTCCTACTGACAAACAAAAACTGTTGACTCTATGTTCAGTAGGTTTCGTTTATTAAGGTTAGATTTTCTAAAACTCACCCCCAGGCAATGGACCATGACTTTGGTCAGAAAACTCCTCATCAGGGTTTTCATCGTGAAATTTATCCCTAAAATCCTTAAGAGCCTCTTTAAGACGCTGCTTTGAAATAACATTTTTATCAATTGTGATAAATTTCTGTTTTGAGTCCTTGTTAGTTTTGTATTTAGTTCCATCATCTCCCTCCATAAGTTTTGCTTCTTTCTCTCCAGTTTGTAGGTTCATGCGTACATGGAGTCCTGGTGGAATCCCTTGACCTGGTTTGATAGATTGCCATTCGGATGATGGCTGAAAAACTTCAAGGTCTTCTTCATCAAATTGTTCAGTATTTGGGGCTATTTCGACTTCATCATTATTACCATTTTCGTCATCACTTTTAACCAAAACAAGTCCTTGTTGTTGTTCTCCCAAAGCTTATAACGATAAAAAAGAATTAAAGAATAAGCAGTTAACATGAAACACTCATGATTGCTTCTAAGCTGCACTCCAATGAGTCAAATATAAAATGAACTGCAGAAAAAAAAGAACTACATATATGAACTAAGTAGAAACTGGAAGAACTGAAGTAGATATTCCAGTTCCAGTCAATCAGGTCTATATATGGTCCTTTAATCTGGGGAGTTTTGCTGTTCCTTGTACCTGTCTAGGTCACACTTCTGGGTCATTAAACCATTTTTGTTTTGTTCTTTGTTTTTGTATTATTAAATTATTTCTCCTTCATAAAAGCACACAAGATGAGTCAATTTGCTGAAAGAAGAATACTGATTTGTCATTTTCTCCCTACATTATCAAACGAGATTCAATCATGGATATAAGAATAAAAAAAATTCATCATTGCTGAAGTATGTCACCTTGATAAGTTACCTAACTCTCTCAATTAAACAGGAGCAAGAAGGAATCGGTGATCGTTTTTAAATTCTTACAAATCAGAACAATACATTTTTCAGACACCGAATAACACACAGAATATAAAATCGATAGCTGCTTAATCTGTACGATGTACTGTACTTATAAAAGATAAAATTTGAGAGAAGCTTTGTTCTCCTGCACAAAAAGAACCTAGCTAACATAAAATAAAACATAACTTACTAGACGTCAGTAGTAGAGCAAGTATTATTAAATAATTCAACATTCTGTTCTTCAGGATCTCCTTACTTCTATCTCAACTTTTGAGTAAAAAATAGAAAAGCAATGATAACTTTTTATTTCGGAGAAACTCATGTTCCACGCTGACTATTTGTCCACGAAACTCCACAATCGAAAGCCACGTAGATGAGAAACCGCTGACCGGAAAAGAATGATGAAATTTGCGCCACGCTCGCACCACGCGTATCCCGCGCGCCGACTGACTTGGAATCATTCTACTGGAGCATGGAGGATCTATTTGACAACAAAGCTTAGTTAGATCATACGTGTTTTTGCTCACGTTATCTTAACTTTCGTTAATTATAATAACGTTTGACTTGCTTGCAAGTCATGCACAGGACAACACGTGAAATTTGGTCGGAACGTTCTTGATACTGTAGTTAGGGGTGAAGGAACACCTGACACTAGACGTAAAAAATTCCGGCCGGGTAGAACAAACGGGGCCTAGAATTCTCTATCCTGCTTTAAAATATTTCAGAGCTAATCTTCATTTTTCGCCAAGTGAAATTTCCGACAATAATGAAGTGCAAATCCTGTTTCTAAAAAGTTGAACTAAAATAGAAGAGCTGATGAACCGCGACTTGGTCACTTCATCGACATGTCATCTCACCGATACCATACCTCTACTTGCCGACGCGACGGTCGTCTGTGATAAACTGGCCGACATCTATCTTAACGGACAGCTCGTTAACTATATTAATTGCACAGACCATTATAGCTCCCGTGACCCCGAGGTCATTTCGGCCCTTACAGTTAAATATCCATCAAAAGTTCCTTTTCCTACTCAATTTAGCGTGCCAAAAAATTTTAATGCTGGGCGTGGTGTACTTGCTAATATAGCACAACGTTGGGAGCCCGTCTGAGAGCATGCGGCTCGCGGGGTGTTGTCATGGTAATACGTGATTGGTGGCGAGATTTTATTTGCTTCATATTTACAGCGTTGTATGCATTAGAAATCGGAAAAAATGTATAGAATGGACTTGTGAATTGATAATACTTGTACTTACTAGAAGCATAAGAAGGCATTTAAAAAACGAAAATTTCATCCTCTTTTACATTTAGTTCATCCTTTTTTCATTCATTTTTGTGTAATACGTCACTGTCCAGTCTTCCGCTGACCAATACCACTGCAGAAATAGTTCTGAAACAACAAGCAACCGAAGATTGGTAGGAACTGTTCTCCTTTGTCCGCTTTTCCTACTTTAAATATTTTTGGTTGGCGGTTGCATAGCTCATTATTCGACTATGAGTTAAAGTGTAGCAGAGAATTGTCACTAGAAGCCCCAGCTAGCGTAGAAAATGGTTTCGTACGTGGCGTCGCGAGTTATCATGTAAGTATTGGCGCGGTTTTCGATCCCCTCTTCTTTCAAAATAAAGTAAATGCGATTATCCAATTCCATTCAAACAGGCTCGTGTTTGGAACTCTGTATCCAGCGTATTCTTCATATAAAGCTATCAAGACAAAGAATGTCCGTGAATATGTAAGATATCTCTTTCCTCTTATTTTCTGCTCATTATTTTCATGCATAAATTTTATGTTTTTCTATTTTCTTTCCGTCGTCCTGCTTGACAGATTTTTGGAATTTTGTTTTTCGACAATGCTTTAAACACGACATTTTGTTTTAATATCAGTGTTAACTAGTTTAAGTAAAGATAAGGCTACAGTCTGGAATGAAAAAAGTGTAAACAGTACAGTTAAACAGGAGAGAACTCATTAATTAATTTCAGCTCCAAGCTTTTCGTGTAAATTTTAATAGTTCACCGTCACGATGAAGTAAATTTTGATTTGCAACCATAGAGCACCTAGATTTTAGCATTCGCTTGCGTCCTAGATAAAAGAAAAATGTGTGCTTGATGATTTTTCTCGTCCGTGTTTTCACTTGCATTCATATAAATGATCAGCACTGATGATAGTAGAAGTGGCGGCGCCCAAAGGAAACAGTCCAAGAGTATCTGTGAAATCAAATTAGAAGTAATCTTGAAAGTTGTTGAGTTTATATATCTTTATTTCATTGTACCATTAAAGCTAGATGGCGCCTCTTGAGACAGGAACGTTATCACATTAAAAAATTTAGGCCGCTGTGATATTAACAGCAATTCTATGTTATACATATTAAATCATGTCTGTCCATTGTTGTGTTTGAACTTGCAATATGTGAAAGGTCTGCTCTTCTGTTCCCAACTCTTCAAATGAATTGGCTTTAAATCTAGTGCGTAGCCTTGAATTACTGCCAAAATCCAATGAATTTTTGCGGTTAAAAGTGAAAAAATACCACTTAGATTGGGTATTTCAGTTTTACATATTATTTGTTACTGTTTCTCTGAAGTGACAAATAGTGGTGCCATCATTGAAACATTTTAGACTGGTCAAGCAAAAGAGCCAAGAGCTAGTGAATTTGTCAGTGGATCAGAGAAACATCTTCCAAGTGCCAAAGCTGATTTCATATTTGGAATTCAGCATTCATCTCCACACAAGAGACACCTTTCTGTTTTAAAGAACTTTGTGCTAACTACATAGCATACTTGCATTTCAGAGCCATCCCATTTTTCTTTTTTTGTCACTGTCAGTTTTTCTCAGTAGAGGCTTTATCTTTCTCAGTCATTCCTCAGAAATAGGAAATGGCATGTTCAATATTTTTGTGGTATAAATAGTGTGACCATGTTACATGACAGTATTTTGCAATCTTGTTTTTCATTTGCAAATGAGAAAGGCTCTGATCAGCACTGAACGACAAAGGATGTCAACCATGCATGAATTTGAATATATGCTGGGCAAACAATATCTAAATAATACACATTCCTACTTTGCTGTCCTGTTTACAATATATCTTATAGTATTAAAGATGTTAAACAGGTCAGTTCTTGTTTATCAATTGGATTAGCTTCAGTTTGTCTTAAAAAAAAATGTTAAAACTGTCATCTTGACACCCTTATTGAGCAACTGACAATTTATAAGTGAGCAAAGCAACTGATTAAACACATTTGTTAGTTGAGTACAAATCCTTGCCTGAAATTAGCTGTTGCTATGGGTCAGGAGAAAATTCAATTGCAAGGAGAATGACCCTGTTTTGCCCATTTTTGAGGGTTTACTTGATTGTATGAAGTTAATTATCTTAAGAATTTAGGAAGGATATTTAAGTTTTTGCAGCCTAATTGTCAAAACTTAAACAGACATACAACTGCAGAGTGTTCTTTGCATCTTTTAATATTTATCATGACTTTACAATAATTTTTATTCATTGATAACTATTGAAATGCAAAACTGTATGTGTGGTTTTTAGGTGAGATGGATGATGTACTGGATAGTTTTTGCTCTATTTATTACACTAGAACTCTTTGCTGATCTTCTACTTGGATTTTGGTAAGTTTATTCATTTATTCCTTACATGTTGTTCAAGCTGTGACTTTTCAAAGGATGGATAATGCTGTTTACATGGTAGACCACCCAAACCAGAAAGTGGCTTTTCTCTACATGTTTTATCAAGAAGCATGACTCGGTAGGAAGATATAGCATTTTCCACCCTTTTTAAGGTCATTTTGGGCTTGAAGGTCCTTTGATACAGCCTTCATTTGCGACAAATAAAGCTGAAATTTAGATCACCATCAAAAAATCATTTTACAGAAAGACAATTATTTATCCAGTCAACAGTAGATTAAAAAATGATAAGTCAAGTACTTGTTTGCAATAGAATTAAAATTTACCCCTCTTGTGGGCTAATAGCCAAGACCACAAACTTTAATTATTAATTTTTGACTCTATGTATTCATTCCAAAAAAAAATATGCACTAAAGAATGCACAATGCAGCATTAATGAATACCCCTCTAAACAACACTGATAACAAAGGGACTAGAGTAAGTGACAGATGCATAATATGCAAAGGATGATCAATATTAAGGGGTCCTTTCTTTTCAATTTTATTGGCAAAAATATTTTTTTATGAGATGCGTCTTTTTACCTTGAAGTAAAAGCACCATTTATTTGTGTTAAATTTAGTGTCAACCAATTTTCAATTCTTTGAAAAATGAAATTTAGTTTTTTAACCTGTTAACCCAAGAAGGATTTAAAAGCCCCTCTTTTATTGGCAATAAGTAAGGAATGATAATCACAACAGCATAAAAAGTGTGTACTTGATGAACATTTTTTCTACTGTATTCCTTTTCGTATTGAAAAAAAAAACATAACTACAAAGATCACATCATTGAGTTGAGAGTTGATGTCCAAATCTAAAGGACTATTTTGCAAAGCATACAAATTTACAACTGTCATGGAAAACAAAAACTGGCAAGTCTAGATGAAGCTCTCTGATTCAGCAGTATTAACCTCTGTCAGAGATGACAATGTTTTTTCAAATCTAGAATGAAGGTGATGGACATTTTAGTAGACATGATTTCTTTATGTTATGACAATGAAGGGTGCAGTTAGTACATGGTCCTTTCTGGGAGTTAAAACAAAAGGAAATGTCATTTTAATTTGTATTGATACAGTGTGGAGGAAAACAAAATGACATTTCAATTTTATCTTTTCAAACCATTGAAAATTGGTTTTACAGACTGGCTATAATGAGGTGTAAAAAGTACTGTTAATAAATAAGTTACTATGATTTTTAGTTGTTGGTGATGTACTGCATTTTTTTGTCATTTCTTTTCAGGTTTCCCTTCTATTATGAAATTAAGATAATATTCATGCTTTGGCTTTTGTTACCAGCAACAAAGGTAATCTTTGTATGCATGTTTTGCAAAAATATTTTTGGTTTTAAAAACATTTATCTGTTATCATTTTCCTTTTATCTCTTTCTGTAGATCTTTGGGTTAAAAACTTGTATTGTATGGCCCTAATGAGCAGATTTTTGTCAAGTTCGTATATTGAATTTTATATTCTACCTAGGGATCCAGCATTCTTTATCGCAAATTTGTGCATCCATGGTTATCTCGCAATGAAAAGGTTAGTGTGGAAACCAATCCCCCGCCTTGCCCCAGTCCGAGTGCATAAATAGTATAAATAGGCCTACATTCGCACGGGTTCTAAAAATAGCAAGGATTTCGCTAGTTCAAAGTAGAGCAACATTAGTTCTTTATACAGTATTCCCAAATCGTCAGGTAATGTCTCCTATCTTCGCTTGTTTCATATTTCATCCTGTGTTATCCGTGTTTCCTATGTTATTTCATCGCAAAAATATTTTTGGTTTTAAAAACATTCATCTGTTATCATTTTCCTTTTATCTCTTTCTGTAGATCTTTGGGTTAAAAACTTGTAAATTATAAATTAGTTATAAATTAGTTCTTCTGCTCTTAATGTATTATGTCTGTAACCTTCATTCTAGAAACCACTGGCAACTACATGTTTATTAAGAGTTCAAGTTTATTCAATTTATTTATGTTTTCGAATTTTTGCTGGTGCATTGTTAACAGTTAGTAATAAAGAAGTATGGATGGTTGATAAGGATAGTGTTTTTTGTTTTATGTTCCTGCTTAGGGTTGTGAGTGGAGCCTTTGCTTTACTTACTGTTTGCTGCAAGTTTTATCAGTTTTCAGTATGTGCCAGTAAACATCAGCTTAACAAAACAAATGTTCACTAGACCAGAATCCAGGGTTGTTGCGAATTAAGTGCTGGTTGCTGGCAAAATTTGCTGGACAAAAAAGTGACAATGACCGGTTGGATTTTTAGCCAGCAATTGCTTGGTGCAATTGTTCACCACCTTTTAGCTGCCTCACTTGAAATTTCAGCTGGAAGTGTAATTTCTTAGCTACAACCCTGAGAATCCCAAGAGGCTCATGCAAGGAGAGGTTCCAAGTGCACAGGGAGTCATGGATGGTTTTATTTTTGCATTTCTTTGTTTGAGAAACTGGTACCAGGTTTCCAGACCAGCCTCAGGGATTGGTTAAGCAAAATCAAGCACTCAGATTTCTTTTGACAGTTAATTACTCAGTTGTAACTTTTATTGATTGGTTGTGAATAATTAATTGCATTAATTTATCTTTTTACTCCTCCAGGACATTGACAGTTACATTGCACAGCTGAAAGAGAGTGGATATGACACATTCTTGAGAGTCAGTAAAAATAGTCTGTCCATTGCTGCTGACACTGTGATAAAGACTGCTGCTACGGTAATCTTTCTTAATTCTTAAGCAGCAGGCACTCTGACAAGCTCAGTTAGATTATTGTAAAGTTCTCTCTTAATAAGAGCAGTGGATTTAAACACCTGGAGTGTTCAGGTTTTATTATTACCTAAAAAGCTGTGCAAGAAACAAGCAAAGCATTGTAAATTTTGCTTCAGGGTCAAACCGTCCTGGCTGAGAAGCTACGTCATTATGGCACTGATGTAACAGACAATAGACAAGCCAGACTTCGCAAGGCTAAGTCATGGTATGGTGGAATGAATTCAACAGACAATGATTATGAGCCAATCGACGAATCTGAAGAATTTAGTCTCATAGATGAGAGAGAAGAGGAGGAAGAGGAGGATTCAGCCAATCCTGACCCAGAGAGGTGTGTCTTGGAAATAGTGTTCAATTTATTATTGGCACAATTTTTACCTTAATTTCGTTTTGCATTATTTTGTAGTAGTTATAATAAAGTAATAAAGGATTTTTGTGAGTTCTTTACAAGATTATGAGGCTTTCAGTTCTTTATGAGTATAAGATTACTATGCCCTATTGATTTTTTTCCTTTTAGTGAAAAGTTAAGGGATGAGTTGAAGGAGAATCCAGAAGAAACTAAAACTAAAGGAATGAAAAGAGCTTCTTCATATGGTTCAAACATTAATAGGTCATCAACTCTTCCTCGTTCACATGGGGTAAGTTTATTTGAATCTCTGAGGTATATTTTCTGGAAAAATTGTTTAAGTATCTTGTTAACTACAGGTCAATTTCAATATCTCTTAATAGCTTCTATTAATGTACTGGTTTGTTGTATTGTTTAATTTCAGAGACCCTCAAACCGTCCAGGAGTTCATGGCTCAGGCTATGATCATTTTGAGGTAATAATGTTGTTACATTGCTTAATGATAGAAAATGTTTTGTGGCAGAGTGGCAGAAATTTGCCTGGTTTAAGGTTTTGTTAAAATGTTTCTTTGGTCCTTTTCTTTTTTCAAGTTTGAGTTCTTTTGTTCATAATCAGAGTATAAATAAAGATATTCATTACATTCATAAACATTGATGCAAATTTTTATCATTACAGTCAACTACTCTTCCAAGGCAGTATGAGGTGAGATAAGCAGTAGTTTTGTGGCAATAAATTTTTTTTTTTTGTTGGAAAATGTTGTTAGCAACAAATGGGAGTAAGAATTGAATCAGATCAGAAATCTTTAATTTGCTATGATGCTTATATAAATATTGGAAAATTTGTCCATAAAAGTATTGTATTCTATTTAATGGGGATAACTTTTGAACATTTGTTTAAAATAAGTATATATTTCAATGTTTTAACTGTGAAAAATTAATTCCCATTAATGTGGAAAGTTAATTGTGAATCAAGGAAGTAAAATCTAACAGTCTTAAATATTCTGATGCGTGCACTCCATGTTTCAAACATGAAAATCGAAGCAGTTTTTCGGTGTTGAACTGTGGTGATAAAATGTATTTTCTAGTACCAACAACATAAGAAAAAGCAGCATACAATTGCACTGAAAACCATAGATTGAATCTAATGTGATAAAAAGAACAGTGTGGCATTGTTTTGTGCTCTTACTTATAAACCTGCCATAACCTTGTTAATTAAATTCTCTTCAGAAAGAATTGTCCTGACACCTGCTCTCAGAGAGTTTTGTTGGCAATGAACAGTGACGCTTTCTAATAGTATTAATTATATTCAAGCTAAGTTAAACAATGTCTTGCACACCTTTCCCAATGATGAAACTAACTTACCTGAAATGTCAAAGGGTGTACCACTGACTTAATGGTCAAGTGAAGCCCAAACTATAAAGCAAACTTTAAAAAAAAAAATGTAATTTTATGTGAAATACTCTCTACTATGTGTACTTTGTGATGGGTCTTGCTCACCATAGAGACTCCGTGGTTTAGTGGTAGGGGATCAGAGCATGGAATTGGTAGGTCTGAGGTTCCATTCCTCTTGGGGACTCAGAATTTTTTCTTTAATCCCATGCTCATGACAAGTGACAAGCTTTGTGCTTAACACCAAATTGCACTCAAAATCGTGTTATCACCTATACAAATTGACTTAACATCTATGTGGATAATGTTGTAGCTTTTTTATTGAAGATTTAGCCAAAAGAAAGTTACAGTTTCCTAGATTAATTACCCCTCTTTTTGGAGGAAATTTTAGATAAGCACTCAGGTGGTTATTTGAGGAAATAATTATGGTACTTGTCCAAATTATCTGTTGAACTCAATTTTCTTCCATTTTAGATGTTGTTTGAATTCAGGCAGTAAAACTTGGATTACTTTGAAGAGTGCTCTATTTGATGTATATTGCAGTTCTTACTCCTTACACTGTACAATTGAACTATATATGTCAGTGTGTTCATACCAAAGATAACCTTGACAATACTAATTGGTAACTATATTAACCCTTTTATTTCAGACAAGAGCACAAAGCAGGACTCAAAGGAAGATCTTCTAGATCTCTATCCAGCATCTCATTTCCCTCTTTCTTACTCCTTTTTATTACTTTGAACAGCATTCCAGCTCTAGAAGTCAGCCCAGACGAAGCCAGAGGAATAGAAAGCCACGTACTCTTCCTGTCGTTCCAAATACATCATATGAGTGTTAGTTAATGACAAGGAAATGGCATCCTGTTTAGAAGACCTCTTGAATGTCATGTTGGTGTACATATTTTAATTATTCACTTTTTAGGGCTTGCGCAAAATTATGGATAGAGTTTACTTTTCTCTTTGTTTGGTTGTTTTTGCTTTGCTGCTAAGGAAAGTCAAGATGTAAAGAAGTTATTCTAAATTTTGCACAGATATGTCTAAATGGCTGGTCTACCAGATAGAAAGTAGGTCTGCAGTAGTAGAACTGCATTCTCAAATACCAATTATAACTGTTCATAATTATGATTGATTATATTGGATTATTCATTTTTGAATCTAAAAAAAATTGCAATCCTGGGAAGGTGTTTTTAAATGTAGCATAGGTATTTAATTTAGATCAGATTGATATTGCTTTCACCAATTGTTGGCTTGGAAATATGGGAATGGTTGGGAGTTTCCTTCCCCACAGGCATTGTAACATAATAGCTTTATACAAATGTTCCTTATCAATGTATATACTTGCTACTGAGATGTTTCTATTTTGTACTATACTTACTGGTAGTCTTTGTGATAAACTTGAGTTGCACTTCCTAGCTTACTAAATAATGTTTAAGACATTCTGTAAAGTCTGTATCAACCCACCCCTTTCCTTGTTATGAGCTCCCTTGCACTAATTAGCTCCCCTCCTTGTGAAGACCTGAAATTTACCTACCATGCTTTACTTTTATTTCCCTCCCATCTTTAGTATGGTTAGGTAGTTCATTACACAATCACATATGAAATGCATAAACCTCTTTGCAGACTGACTTTATGAATCCTTTTTGACCCATTTGGTAAATTGTTTTTTGACAAGAAATGAGGCTAGGTTTTCTTTTGTACTCTAATGAAGATGGGTGAAATATTTGTCATTGCCCAGGAGATCCCAGAGTATTGTAGTCTGATTGGTTGAGGATGTTGTTATATCTGGCCTTAACCGCCCCATGCAAAGTGACTGAAATACTTAAGCAATAAACTCAACCTCAGTATTCTGTGATGTTGCAAAAGGAGAAAAAAGGGAAAATGCAATTGTGCTAATTATCACTTGAGTACTTATACTTAACGAAGAAGTTATTCTCCCTAGGCTTAGCAAACATTTACACTGAACATCTTCCACTTTGTCTGAGGGATTATTGGACAATATTCACTTTGCATTCAGCGATGGTTTTGTTTAAACCCAGATTGTTGCTTACTTTAATGCAGTTGAAAATGGACTTCTTTCCTGTATATACAAACCATTCCCCTCCTCCCTCTCCAACAGTAGTACTTCTGATATCACTTATGGAATTTAAAAATATTTCAGTTAAGGTTGTATTTTTGTTTAGGTATTAAAATATGGTTTTATGTCATGGGTTGTAAATATTAACTCTACTTGTTTTTATTTTGACAATGCCTCTACATATTTACAGTTAACAATAAAAGAGTGAACCATAAACTGTTTAAAATTGCTAAGTTGATTTAATTATACTACAAGACCTCTAGCTCTAAACATCAAGCTCTACTTTTATTGGACTATTCTTCTTGCTGGGTCATTTATTAACGTTTAACTTAAAATGTACTCCACGTGTTCATTTTAAGGACTAGTGGATGTCTTGTGTGTATTTGTCTGTAAGTTTAAATTTAGAACTTTACTCGAGTTTATGTACACACCTTACTAGCAGAGTCTTTTCCACACAGAATTATGGCCCCAAGCAGTGAAGTGTGTGGGCCATAAGTCCAAACAAAAAAACAAAACAAAAATTAAGGTTCTCTAACTTAAAGTACAGAGGGAAGTAAGGGGGAAGATTTCAATTCAAATGTTGTGAATTTAGTGAGCTGTACAGTGAAATAATTATGGCCTGCTAAATTGAACAATCATGACACACTATGAATACATGTAGGGAGAATTTTATTTCTGGATGGATTTTTAACAAAAGTTGCTAACCTAAAACATTGATTTGTCTCCCACTGCTACAAAAAGGTGTTGATATTAGTTTTCAGACTAAAGAAATTAACCAAATCTTGCAGACAACAATATTTTGTTCGTTTTACTACTAATGGTACATTGTAGTATTTTTACAATTTACCATTGAACACAACATATATTTAACCTTGACATTAAAAACCAAGAACCGTCAGTGCCCTTTTCACTACTAACAACAAGCATCCAAATTGCTATGAATAAATGCAAGGTAAACTAATGTGACATGCAGATGCAGCACAAGCAAACTCTGTGAATCATTTAAAGGAACACGTCATCAGTGTCAATGCTTGAAACATTTTCCTTTTCATTGCTGTCATCATCCTCTGAAGCCATCACAGACTTGACCATTTTACTAACATTTGTCTTGCTTTTTCTATACAAGAAAGAAAGTGAGACATCAGAACTGTGCACCTTGATTTTACACTTCACATTTTACCACCCAGTAACTATATTTATGCCATACCTGCTTGACCTTGTTTGACGAGCTGGTGTTTCCTTGCCCAAAGCAATGGGGCTGTTTTTAAAACAGGTAACAAAATCTTAGTAAATTGGAAAGTATAATTGATCTTTAGGGCTCAAATTAAGCTTTATCTCCAAATAATGGGCTTGCAAATGAATTTATGTACAAAATGTATTAAAATTTTACCATGATAGTTGCTAGTATCTAACATGTTGTAAGCATTAATTTTATCATAGTATATTTTTAATAATTTTATTGAGATGATCATTTCATGGAAAGCACGTAATATAAGAATTAAATTATTGTTATTATTATTATTACAAAAATCTAATCAAAGCTGTAGGAGAAAAAAAAATACACTGCAAAAGGAAAAAAAAAATTGTTAGCTCAGTAAAAAACCAACTTTAATACCATTCAATTGACAATTACAAAAAAATGCCTGTTTAACACATTGAATATTTGTTTTATTGACCAAGCCATAAGAGTGTGATGAGTTAAATCATTAGAAGAGCCATCCATTTATTCAGTGTGTTTTCACCTAGTGCAAGACACCTATCATGTCACTTCTTTTCGTACCCATGCTCTTTGTCCCTGGCGACTGAATTTGACCCTGCTTGCTTCTTACTCTTTCTTCTTGATTTTGTTTCTTTTGATTTGTTGTCAGCTTGGTTTTCATTCAGGACTTCAGAGGGTTTGTCTGCAAACATACGAAATGGGTGTGATATGGATGAAAGGATTAATGGAGAGAACTTTAAACTGATTTGGGAAAGATGTGCCAAGGAAAATAGGACAGTGATAAGCATGATTGACAATTCCTAGCTGTAATTAAATCTAATTAGAGTATGTCAAAACCACCACCCAGGGTGTCTGTATCCTCTGTATTGAATTCTGTGTGCTCTTTAGGTACACAGGTATTTTCCTCTAATTTTCGGCAGGTGTCTGTATCATCAACAGTAATTGTCTCATTTATAGTACTGTACCTTCATTGGGTTCCTCTGTTTTCTCAGCATTTGCCTGATTGTCATCATCTGATTCATTCTGTGAGACACCATCTGTAACAAAATGATTTCCATTTTTAAGTAGGCATGACCACCATTTAACCCTTAACTGCTGAACATGTGATCATCAATTCTCTTTGGGAGATGCCTTTGGTATCATGTAAGATATGATACCATCTAGTGTTTGTTCTCATCTTGTCTACCCTCCACCTATTTTTCAGGTTCCCAGATTGTGTTGAGATTATTTTTAATACTTTTAGTATTAAACCTAATTAGGTAATATTCTTTTGCTCTTTTCATCTATGGACAATTAAATAAATCTAAAGTATGTACAAATCTTTTATTAATAATGAGCTATTCATTGTGTATAGAGTCATGTACTTGTAAACAGCAAATAGAATTCATGCGATTGGGAAACAAAACTTATTCATCCATATAGCCATCCAAACTAGTCTAGGAAAGCTCCTGTATTTACTCCAGGTTATTTCTCACCAATCTCCTTGTCTGTGAGAGTTTCCAGCATTTTGTTTAATTTGCTCAATGATTTCAGGGACATATTCTCTTCAATTTCCTGGAAAACAGATAAAAATATTGAGTTGCATTAAGTAAACATACTTAAAAAAAGGCATGTAAATGTACTGAATTGACACATGCATACAATGAACTAAATTAACACATGCGTACATACACACTTAGGCATACAGATTAGTGTGGGACACTACAATACATACACTACAATGAAGAAAACTATTGATACAAGACTTATTTAACCCATTAACCCTAGATGATTAACATGTAACTTCTCTTTATAATACCCACTCAAATTATCAGGTAGTTGTTCTCTTGATTGAACACCTAACCCTTGTGACTAATTTACAAGAAAATGTGAAACATCTAGAGGGGAGAATTAACAATCAGATCTTGAACATGTGCCTCCCCACTGTCAAACATTCTGATTACCAGATCACAAATTGTCCCTAAAGAGAAAAATGAAACCACTGTCTCTCCACAAGTAGCCCAACCTATTTGGTAAAGCTTAGGAGCAATGATAAAGTAATTAATCAGTCAATGTTGTTTTTCCCTGATGCACAGCATGTTAGGCTGCTTGGAGTGCATTTCAAAAAAGTTACCACTGTGGCTTGTAGTGGAATAGAGACAATCTGAGAATACAGAGGAGTTACATCAGTAGAGCCAAATTTTTGGCGACAGAAAAAAAAAATGTTGGTTGAACATGTACTATACATTTACAAGATGACGGATACACAAATCTTGTTTACCTCTATCATCCTCATTGTAAGGACTTTAATTTCCTTGACTGTAGACTGTGTGCAGCCAGTCAAGTCCATCATAGTCAGTACCTTGCACAGAACTCGGACACCAGGAGCATCAGGACAAGACAAAATCTCATTAGCCATTGCAATGCTCAGAGAAGCATGAATGCTGAATGCCTAATGAAGAAGAAAATATCAGAAATTGTACAGGCAATGGAACCTCTTCTTGATAAAGTTTCTCACCAATTTTCTCCCAATTGAAATTTAGATCTCAAGAATACTCCCATCTATTGATCTACTATTATTTAGAAAATATTGGTCAATAGTCAAATATTATTTGACATTAAATTATAATAATGATTCCAAGTTTGCAGCATGTCATTATGAGAGTTCTTTGCATGAAGTATTTTAATGGCATGGAGTATTTTAATTATGATATATAACACAGACTGTCACTAGCTGACCAACTATCGGTCAAGTGTAAGCGGACTATTGCCCAGCCATAAGTTGATGGTCACCTGACTGTTGAGCAACAACTGGCTCACAGATCAGCTTGGGCTACATGTAACTGACCAATTATCAATGACACCAGTGCAGGGATACAGAAGAGTCAGTACTTGCATCATTTCAGATTAGACAGAAGAAAATTTACTTCAAGCGATCTGTTCTGCCAACCTATACCCCTTTGGACACTTTCCTACTTCAGAATGTTAAGAATGAGTTCTGGTTGAAAAAATAATTTTGCCTTTTCCCAATGGGCTTTGTTTCATCTGCATTATGAGTGTTGTCTTATCAAAAATAGCTTCACTACCCAGAAATTAGCACAAAAATATTGGTTGTCCATGTCCAAGGCTGTGCTCTGAGAAAAGTTGAAGGCAACCCAGTGCTCTGAAACTGTGAAATCCAGGGTACCTAGCATAAATTTTTTATGAAAAACTAAGATTTCTGAGTCGCCCAAAAGCAAAAGTAAGGTGCCAGGGGCCACCAGGCACTGCTAGAGCACAGCCCTGGTGACTCTAACCACTGTGCAATCTCTACATGTAGTTCAGCTGGGGCTTCAATACACATGTGATGGGAGAAGAGACTCTCTGTTGGTGAATGAAAGAACAATATTTTGGTACCTCATTTGCATCAATATGTGATTTTTCTTTCTTTTCTAAGTACTTTGCATTTGTCAAATCCACCAGCAACTCTGCCACATTATTGATGTTAACTGATGCCAGAGGAGATGACATAGGGGCACTGAATAATGTCTTAAGGGTGGGAAGGAATGCCTCTTCAATGAGCTCCTGATTAGTGCTAAAAAAAGTAACAGACTATATTGAGTAATGAAGTCAACCAAAACCTCTTTTTTTGTATATCAAAGTTCTTAATTTGTCATATACAGATTTGAAAGGATGTGCCTAAGTGTAGTTAACGATAGTCAGGAATAATTATTGTAGTCTTGAGGTCTTAAAACTTTGCATCAGTTGGAAATGGCAGACAAAATTACTTTGCTTTTTTTGGCTGACACAATCAGCAGCAAGCAGCAAGCTGCTAAATAATATTCTATAACTCTATCCAGTGGATAGTGCAGTAAAATTTGTTAACACTTCACTGTTGGATAGCAATTTATCCATTGAATAGTGTGATCCAACCTTCAAACAACTAGCCCTGGTGTATACTTCTTTAAAAGATTATTAAGCACCTGGACATACCGTGAAGCAAAGGCAAAAACAGGGAAAAAGACACCCAGGCAGTGCCGCAGGTTGACATCATCCTCAGTGGTAGGATTGTACCACAGTAACAGAAGACGAGAGAAAAGTTTGGCACTCAGAACACGACCTGACAGCAACAGCTTGGCCAATCCTTCAGCGGCCACATTCCTAAGGTCATTGCTCTAAAAGGTGTAACATTATTTTGAAATATACAAATCAATTAAGAAATACAAGACAGATCAAATATGTGATTGTGCTTGCTGGGGAAAAACATGACTAGAGATGAAAGATATAAAAACCAATACTTAGACAAAGAGAAGATTAAAGCTGGCTCTTTTTTCAAAAAAAAAGTACAAGGTGAAGAATGGGAAAACCAACCTCACTTTCTAAAATTCCTGTAAGTATCGTAAGCACACTCGCAGCAGTGTCAGTGTCTGGAGCCTGGGTCTCCTCCACATCTCCATCATCACTCTTTTCTGTGACATCTTCATCTCCTTCATTTTCATCATTCTGCACCTCTAATTTGTCCTGATCTGAGCCATTGATGCTAGGGTCATCACCCTCTATCTCAGGGACTGAAGCATTGACTTTGAAAGCCTCAAGACCAAACTTTAGAAGAAGGTCAAAAACAACCTGAAGAGCAGTGGCTCGCACAAGCTCTTGATCTAGTTGAGCCACCTGACAACAGATAAGAATCAGTGATATTAACCAGTTATGTTCTTTTGAATTTATTAAGCAGAAAGCAAGACTAATAATTATAAAAAAAAGTTGTTACATTGTACCTGCAGAAAAAGTACAAGATGTGTGCGTGCAAATTCACAAGAAAGTAGTGCACACAAGCCCAAGCATTTGACAGCCATGTTACGCACTAAGGGATCTTCATTCTGAACACCAGGAAGAATCTGTAGAAAAAGAAAAGAATGTAAAAACAAGTCAGTGGCTTAATAAATACCTCCCTGGTCATATGAGTCAGTTCTACATAATTATTAAGAACAGCCCCCCTGACTAGTTTCCTTTGCAGCCGTTGTTGGTCTTGTCATGCAACAAGCTATCTACTATGGGGACCAAATAACAACTGCAAAGGAGGCTACCCCTTAACTGAAGTTAATTCAAATGTCTTAGTATAGAAGGAGGTAAGGATTAGCCTTAAATGAAACTGGCTGTTGAGACTAAGAGCATTTAGAAGTAATTCAGTTAATGAAAGGTTTGTAAATTACCAAAGTTTGAACCAAAGTGGTAAGTGTTGGATTCAGTCCACTTGTTGCCACACCCTGTAACATCTCAGATGCAATGGTTAAACACTTCAACAGTGTATCAGGATCATCCTAGCAGATGAAAAGGAAGTTACAACAAATTGAAAAACATTTACTGCCAAGAAACTGTATATATACTCGAGTTGGAAGCTTCTTTGTTGTTAGAAATGAGAGCAATACAAGTCAACAATTCTGAATGAGGTCTGTGAACCTAAAGGGTAGTAGCAAAAGGTGGGGATCAAAAAGCCAAGACCTCTCCAGGAATGACAGGCTTACTAACAAGTGAGCCAAGAGGAAGATAATCAAGTTCCTCCGTCATCTGCTAAAGCTCTCTAAGACACTACTATAACATCATGTCCTAAAATAAACAAATGCTCAACACCAGGTTGACATAATGTGAATTTGTATTATATCTATGATGTGAAAAACTACAAAATCTGCCTTTTGATTGATACTGGAACAAACATACAGTATTTTATAGTGCCTAGTTTCACTGACCTACACCCACCTCTCCCTCACACATCAGATTCTATTCTAAACAACAAGTCTATCAAGGTATTTCAGACTAAGATTACCTTTTCTTCCCTAATAGTCTGGGAAAAGGAGTTTTCTTGTGAATCAAGTATTTCCTTCTGTCCTCCCAGATCTGCTATTTGCTCTTTCAGTTCAGCTGCCTTAGCAAAATCCTGATCCATCACACATTGTTCCATTTCGTCACGCAACTGGTTAAGTTTGACGCTCATTCCTGCAACCTAAAAGTATGGTCAGAAGTGTTAGGAAACTGTCATTACCTTGTCAATCCTAGGCACACCATTTTGTTGCACCAGGGGTATCAAGGGGTACATTCATTTGGCACTGAAGATCACAGAATTCTCTGGCTACTATGCAGAAATGGCATCCTAAATTTCAGTAGCCTGAGTCATTTTACATTGAGACATGGAGCTGTTATGTTGCATGTTCTAACTGAGTTTTGAATTGATCACAGAAATGCTTGTAACTCAAAAATCCTGTGAACAGAATCAAAGCTTATCAGAAGCTAATCAGAATCCTACATTTACTAGCCCAGCAATCCTGTTGGATTAACAATTACAGGTACCTTTAGTTCCCACAGTCGTTTTTTCTCCTTGTTTTGAGCAGTCTCAATCATGACAATGGGTTGTCTAACATCAGCAATAATTTCAACCAGCTCCTGGATTCTGCTGCTTTCTTCTGGTTGAACATCTATATATCTGTCATGTAGGACATCCACCAATGACTCTTGGATCTCTGCGTGCACCAACAAGTCATGGATCATCTGGCAAAGATTCTTTCTGCATAAAAAAAATTTACCAATCTTTATTATGGCAACCCTAGCATATACAATGTTTGCTAGGAATCCACAAATATGAAAAATTTAACTGTTATGTTCATGTGAGTGCAGGGTTCCTTCAAATGAATGATCATGGTTAAAATATTTTGCAACAAATTGCTTGGCTGGTTGTTCTAGTCAAGAATTATCCATAAACATCAAGTCTGTTTTGCAGTCATCATGATCCTTTAGAATAAACATGCAAACTTTGCTTTGCACATTTTGCTGTTTCTCAAAAAAGAAATAAGCATCCTGTCCCTAATAACACCATGTTTCAAATAGGCATCCTCCAGTGAGGTACTAAAATTAATTCAAAGCACAGGAAAATAACTGCCCCAGACATGAATCAGATCATTACTAACAGTACCTTCCAACTTCATCAGAGAGGTCCATCACCCCCACAAGAATCAACAGTTGCTTAGTAACAAAGTTCTGTTGACTTCTTGAATGATCAGACTCCTCTGAAGATGTTTTGGACAAACAGTTGTCCACATACCTGTCAAAATAAAGAATAATATTACTGTAACAGCATTTAGTCTAACTGACATGCATCCAAGCATTTCTTTAGACCATGAACCAATTAAGAACATAGCCTATCTTCTTGAATGGAAGACTAGACCTAGATCAAGTTTTCCTGAAAATTTGCTGGTACTTATTTATTCCCTCTTGGGTGGAGGGACACCAGGAAAGTTAGAGATGTTTTGTTCAAGAATACAATGAAGTGATAAGGTCCAGGCCAAGGCTGAAACATTACACAGAAAGTCAGTTGATCAAGAGTCCAAGAAACCTACCATTGAGTCACTGTGTTTCCAAAAAGCCCACAAATTCAACAACAATAACACTCAGAAAACAGTAGAGATCTACTTCCGTGGAACTTGAGCCAACAATTTTGCACAATATATCACAAGATAAAGTAGCATTCATACCCTTGAATATATTTGCAAAATACTGACACTTCAGGTAGAAGTTCATCCAAAAGTGCTTCACCATTCACCCCCATGGACTTCAAATGTTCTCCAAGACATCTCCAATAAAATACTGTCTCAGCATCTAGAACTTCATAGCTGATCTCCACAGGACCTCCTCCTTGTTGCCCTTTCTTTAAAGAATCAATGTAACCTTGAAGGTCTTCATTTGGCAGCCCTGAAATAAGTAAAATATAACAATTTCATATTCTACATCTGTGTAGCTATCTCAGCCATAGAAACTTTAGGGTACAAATAAAACCCAAATGAAATCAGTGCAGGGAAATGTACATAGACATACCATTCAGCAATGTCTTCAAAGCCAGTTCTGCAACTTCTGTGCAGCCATCAACATCTAAGCACTTCAGAAGTTTGACCACATCCCCATCAAAACTGTTCAACCACTGGTAAAGAAGCTCCTTGGCACAAACTTCCTTAACGGCTTCTGATCTGTCATGCAGACCATTGGAAAGCAGCTGCACACGCTGGGCAATTGTAAATGATTTGATGTTCACCTTCTCTGCTAGAGTGCGATAAGCTAACTTTCGAACTGACTCTGTCATGTCTTGGGTTCTTCCTGCAGAAAAGATGGTGAGCACTTGTAGATAACACTTATTTTAACTCTTTTCCTCAAACTGAAGGGTGCAACACTTATCATCATTCTTTGCTGGCTTAACAGATTTCATCACCCAGTTTAAATCACCTTACACTGTAAGCAACTGTTGATTAGCTCAATACTCTCTCCTGCTTGATACTTATAATGATGATAGGTTGATAACTTGTTCCTAGATGAAGGGTTGATGACATCAAAGGAAATTGCTGTCAATAAACCTAGACTACCTCTAATAACCATTTTCTTCAGGTGCTGTTGTGAAATGATTGAATAGTCTCTTTCAAAGTGTCAAATACTGGTACAAATAATTCTGTCACACACCATTAACATCGAGGTCATATTAAAGCAGCACGTAAGGGTAATTGCTATCCTCTGAGTCATACATATGACCCATACTCTAACCTTAAAGGAACTTTGTTGTACTTTTTTCATTTCATTTAGCAAGAGGAAAATAACATTTTTTTCTTTGATTTCATGATAATTTTAGTTGTACCTATTATTCCCTCCAATGTCTGAGAAGTAAGAGCAACATTCAGGAGCACTGTTCTGCGCACTTCAACACTAGAATCATTGGACATGAGTTTTAAGTATGTTGATATTACAATGCATTCAGGATCTGAGGGGTCCTGGAGCCTGGAGATAGCTGCAACAGCTTGCACTCGCACAGCAGGAAACTTGTCATGGAGCCGTATCAACATGCTCTCAAATATCCTCTCTGCCAGGTCATCATCAATGACAGCATCATCACCCATGTTATTCAAGAGCTTGTTGATAAGCTGACAGACACGGAATCTTACAGCTTTGTCTTTAACATCATGCGAGTCCAGTAAGAATGTAAAGATGGAATCAAGGAAAACATTGCTGTAATCATCCTCTTCACCATCACTTCTATCGCCATCCTGTTTGTTTAGATAAGAAACTTGATCAGAGAGAAACCGCAGGTGTCAATACAGTCAGGTGTACGTTTGACCTGTTAGACACCTACCTATCTCCTCAGCTATGCAGAGAAGACTGAAGAATTGCGGCTAAAAGTTTTAGATTCAAGATCAACTTCAAGTTCGCTGTACTGTTAGGGTGCTGAATTTTCTGTTCCACCTGTAATGTTCCATTTTTGACTCATCATCATCCTTTTCTAAAATTACGACCATCTCACGAGGTGATCAATTGTCAAAAGAAAAGAACTAATTTATCATAAGTAAAATCGCAATCTACCACTTCAGCTTCAATGTATCATAACGAATTCTTTAGCGTTCACCTCATATTCATGTGAGTAATAAAATAAAACTCTGGGAGAAAGTGGTATAATGCTCATAAAGTCGGTTAGATGAACATTCATACCTATATAAAACCAATCAAATGCATTATCTCAATGCTTCTTCACGTCCTTTGCTTCATAGGATGTACTCAGATCTATTTTCCATCTTTTTCAAACACACATGTAATACCTTTTCAGTTTGAGAGGTACGGTGATCTTTCAGTGTTGCATACTTGGCCACGAACTCGATGACCCTTTCAACAGCAGGTTCTCTGTTAAACACAACCATCGCATGTTTCAGATGCAACAGGAAACTTTCCAGAAATTCATCCGGAGAGGACTTGTCGTGGAGTTTTTTCAACTCCGTCAAAATCTTGTGCTGTTGAAAACTACGCTGGGCTTCTTCAAAAACACTTCTCACGCTATCATACCGTGAAGGCATGACGGAAATGTACAAGAGAAAATCTAACAACGATTGAAATTGACAACGTGAAAACAAACGTTCGTTCAAAAAATGGCGCCCTAATGAAAACCCAGATTTCCCTCGGACTTTCACGAATCAACTGGACACTAGTAGTACCCAGGCTACGACACCACAAAACAAAGATGGCGGTTAATTGGAAACTTTACTTCACTCCACTTCCTCTTCTGTTATTAACCTATTATTTGTTATTTTCTGGACGAAAAACGACTCGAAAAAACGAGCATCACAAAGGAAGGCAAAGTGGCTCTGGAAGAAATAACGGAAAACCGGAATGCCCGTCTAATTTTCAAGTAGTTGACGGAACCTGCGTTCGTTGCCCGCCCGGCCATTTTAGTTTTCGAGGTTGGATCGCGTGTTTACAATGGTTAGATTGTACTAGTATTGCTCTTGACGTGAGGACTAGACGAAGAATTGGTATTCCAGGTCATTTAAATGCGGTCAAAGAAGTTTATTTGGCAGATTGGCACGGGTATGATGTGGTCCATAGTAAATGCGCGAGTGACCTTTATTACGAAGATTGCCTACACGGAATGCATATGGTGGAAGGCCTTCAAGGGAGTGAATTTGTGGTGCAGCTCATTGGAATTTGCTACAGTGGCAGTCTAGAGGTGATTGAGTGGCTCAATGTAAAGCATAGTGTCAATTTTGTCAATTAATTCCTGGGTTAGAGGGTGACGTAACCTCATAGCTATGTCTGGACTGTTTACAACGATTAATAGTTGGAGCTTTTTTTTTCAACCATGCAACAGTTGGTGTAATGCATTTCCATATAAGGTGACTTGAAATATGAGCTGATAACTGGAGTTGAGTGAACCAATCAAAACACTAGAAATGTGATATTCGGAGTTAAAAAAAAATAATCTAATAAAACCCTATACCACTAATTTTTCAACTTACTAACAAAGTGGCTCGTGACAACAAGATGTCATGACAATTTCACTTTGTTTACTAGCCAAACTGGTTAATGGAAATCAAAAACCATTAGCTAAAACTGAATTTCTTCTAGTCTGTGGCTAGTTGGCTACTGTTAGTGTTGAGCCCTGGTATTTGCTTTCTTTTATCTAATAACTGTATACATAATGAAGTATTGGGGTTAAATCTTTCTTAAATACTGTTATTGGTTAGAGGGTTTTGCAAGTTATTAGGGTCAGAGTTGTATTTAATGCAATTTCTTGTGATATTCAAAAACAGTTTTTAACTCCTAAAAAGCTCCACCCACCCCACCCCCTCCCCACTTCTTTTCTTGGCTGGAATACAACAGGATCACACTCAAGCAACTTACGGTAGTTTTTGTGGAACATTTTCTCAGGGAGGGGAATGAAAGGTGGGAGGAAAGTTGAGGAAGTTGAAAGGTGTTAATCTTCCTAACACCTTTCACAATGATCTTAGCTTCTGATACAGAGATCAAAGTGATGCAAGGTTGTTTAACCTTGAAGTCTTTTTTGTTCTCTCAATTATATGGGTAATCTAGTTTCAAATAAATGTTATATGTCCTTGGAAATTATGTTTTATGTACATTGCTTACACAATATTTCTACTGAAATTGGGAACTGTGGGAAATTTTAGCCCCTTGGTATACAGTTTTTTCAGTAGGGTGGGATTGGAAAAAATGGAGTACAAGGATGGGAAAATGAATATTATCATTTTGTGTCCATACATGTTGATATAACCAGTACATGAAGTAATGATATCTGAAACCCTTTTATATATTATTATCAGATGGTAACAGGTTATTACAAGCATGGTTCAGCAGACACACTTGATGAACTCCTTGAGAGACCAGAACTTGGTCACTTCAACACTCTAGAAACAAGATTTCAACTTTGCATAGACTATGTTAAAATCCTCCAATTTCTTCATAACAGTCCTCTTGGTGTGCGGGTCATGTGTGATTCAAATGACATAACAAAGACATTGTCACAGTACCTGGTAACAAATGACTTTCATCTTGTCATCAATGATCTTGATGCTTTACCAGAAGTAAAAGCAGATGAAGGGGAACTGATCAAGTGCGGTCACAGAGAACTGTACGGTGATTTTGTAGCTCCTGAACAGCTCTGGCCTTATGGTAACTCACGCCCGTTTGATGACGAAGAGATGCCTCCCTATGATGAGAGGATTGATCTCTGGAGAATACCCAATGTTGTTGACAAACTACTTGGCCGAGTTCATAATAGTAATTATGTTAGACGTCTCTTGATAGGAATTCACGAGTCTTGTAAACAAGAAGATCCAGAAGAGAGGCCATCAGCAACAGAGGTTCTTGAAGTATTTTTGAATGTACAGAAAATTATTTCGGCGGGAAAGAGGCAGGATCTCTAACCGGTATTTCCAGATTTTTTATTGAAATTTTAAGGGCCGGTTATTTAGACAAAGTGGGCCGTTTAACAAAATCGCGTTCTAAACTATCTTGAATTTGGCTGAATCTTTTATCTGGACATTTACTTTTGTGAAAACTGTCAAGAGCGGCCGAAAGCTAACAGTGGAAGGACATTTATTTACTGAAAACAGACCTCTTATAGAGAATGCGTACATCCTTCTGCTCGCCTAAACCGCGGTTCGGGTCAGACCTCGTGCAAATAACCGGCCCTAAGTTTTTTACAACTGTAACTGCTTAATAAAATTTAAACCACCCTATCAGCCGATGTTATCGCAAATTCAGCCCATTTTTCTAAGTACTTTCAAGGCCATTTGTGCTTTTCTGCTGGGAACAGGTGTTAATTTGGTTGGACTCTCCTTTCTTTTAATATTTGACAACAGTAAATGCTGCTTTACAGAGGATTAAGTCGGTTTTACACAACACGCGCAAAAAAGTCTCAGTCCACGCGGTTCACCTCTTCCATATCAATACGTCCAGCTCGAGAAGTAAGTCCCTCAGATTTGTGTTGTTTCTGATTGGACACTGGAAACAAAACAAGCCTTGCAAACGTTTGGAGCAAGATACCTGATAGTTTGTCTCATTTGGGAGGGGTATTCTCAAGTTGAACCTTTTCGTAGTAGGAGTCATATCACAGTGCACCAACTTGACTAAACGCTTGAAAAAGCAGTTTCTATATCAAGCAACGGACAGAGCAAAAATTTTGTTCAGTGCAGTGGGCCAGCTTCATAAGCATTACTCAGCACAGGTTGCTTTTCTTTCTACAGAACTGATATAAACTGAAAGAAATGGATGACCAGTAAGTTACAAAATTGGCGCTAAACGCTGTTTATTTAAATTTAATTTTCAAATTTTACGATTTCCACGACTAGCTTTTTCATGTCGGCGGTGTTACGTTGTACGTCTCACTGAAAAAGGTTGTCAACCGTGAAACTCACGACTGTTTGATACCGTTGTATAAACAAGGACAACACGAACGAATCCATGGACAACAAGGATAAAGCACACATTCATCGTCTTCTTCCTGATCTTTGTCGTCAGGACTTAACAGCAGTTCTTTTTCGCTTTTTGGCATCAATACTCCAGTATGTGTTTCAACTGGTTCGTGTGCTCTCCTTTTTTTGATTCCGTATTTTCCTCTCATGTCAGATCTTAGTTTTTCTCGTATTGCTTCCATTTTGTGGTGTTTCTTTTTCCTTGCCTTCTCTTCTTTATTCAGTTCTTTTTCAGCTCTTTCTATGTCTTTTTTACTCAAATTCTCCATACTGAGTGTTTTTCCTATATCTCCGCCCAACTCCCCAACTCTGCCGGTAACTCCACTTGTTGCACTCGATACAAGATATTTAGCCGCAAAAGTCGCCATCTGGGAAAGCCTATCGTGAAATCACAGACAAAAAAATATTAAAACAATACAAAATGAATAGTATCCTCGTGGCACAATTGCCATCTCTATATGGAAAACTTATTTCTCTGCATCTGTATCGCTATTATTTTAGGTTCTGTCAGAAAAATGCGAACGAGGAATTTTGAATAAATACGGAAGACACTTGATGGAGGTAGTTTTTGTTGGAGATGCATCGCCCTCCCAACACAATAAATAAGAAAAAAATTACTTGCGCTGTTTCGCTTTTCCAAGCTTCACCATTTCACTTGATCACTGCGGTAAACTGATCCATTATAAAACTCTTCATGTCTCTGATCGGGTACACCCCCTGTTAGAGTTTTCGTGTTCAGAGCGCCTTTGAAACAAAAGCTGCATGACTAATCTTACCAAAATTACATGAAATATTATCTGAGTTTTTTAAATACGAAAATCTGTCGGGGGCATGTATCACAGCAATGGTTAAGAGAAAACTTGCTATGGAAAAAGTTAGCTAAGTAAGTATTACGTAATTTTGTGTCCGCACAAATGCAAAAAGAAATAGAACATGCACACGTAATTTTGCTTTGTCTATCTACAAGACGGAAAAAGTTACTGGTGTGTCAGTAGGAAGCACGACTCCCTCCTGCTCTCTACGAATGCTGTTTTTCACTTTATTCCAAAGAAATTCACAGTTTGCCAAATGCATCGTACAAACAAACAAACTCTGGAAATTTCTTTATGCGAAAAGTTGTTAGATGCTGTTTTTCAATGCGCATCTTCAGCCAACCGTTGAAATTAGCCCTGCGGGAAATAACGATCCAATGTGGTGACCGTTAGTTTTGCACATAGTTAATGGCCAGTCCCCCTCCACTAACTATGTTTTACAATAGCCCATATATGGCGACAACAACTTTTGAAAATTGTTAGACGTTTTAACCGCATATTCACATAACCTAACAGCTGAAAATTGCGAATTATTTCCGCATGTTATTATTTCTGACATAATGGACGCGTAATAAATATTGTTTGATTTTGTGTTACTTAAACAAACGTGAGGGTAAAAGGTGCGCTTTAAATGGCCAACGTGTAATTCAATTTTGTGGAGAAGTGCATAAAATTTCTTCCGTGTTCCACGAAGAAATTGTCTTAATCCCTTTGAAAACTCTCGACGAAATTGGATAAGGTTGAAAATGAGACTGATGTTTGCGGAAATTCGTATTTGAAACACGATGATATCTTCGTATTCACAAGAGTTTTGGTGATCAGGCAGGGAATTTGCATTATTCACTTAACTATAACATTATCCATGTTAGATTTGTCGAGCATTGTCGGCTCGAAAACTGAACCCAGTCGCCTCAAATAGAAAGTACAAACTTTCATCCGGAGGTGAATTCCGGATCGAACCTTTATCAGTCTGCACTTAGCGTTCCTGACTTGCTTCGACGGTGTACACCAGTTAAACTAAAACAACACCGTACAGGCATCGAGGTTTTTAAAATTCAAAGCTACTTACCGCTAAACCATGAATGATAGTGCTCTCCGCATTGCAACAAAATCTGAACAGAAAGCCTTCTCCCGCATCAACAAGATGGTAAGCCTCACCGACGAGCCACCCTGCTAAGACAACCGTTATGCGGTAGCTACTGTAATTTTTGTTACTAAATATCACTCTGCGTCACAGAAATTTGCGTCTCTTTCGTTAACAAAAAAACTCTCTATGGAAATTAATTATGCGCATTCACGTGTAACTAAGCACGTCGCGACCGTTGTTTTCTTAGTACACATTCAAGATAGTAAGAAAAACATTTGGGTGAATTTCAATATTTTCACTTATTCGAAAGCAAGAACTGAGGTTTTTGGAAGAAATGTTTTGGATGCGAACTCGCGCTAAAGAAAAATTACACCACGGAGCAATTTGACAAGAAAATAAGAAAATAAGAAAATAATGTTATGGATGATAAGGGTCAATTGAGATAGTTAGGGTAGGTCAGTAACGTCTGTCATGCTGGGAAATTGTCGCTCACCAATCAAATAAAATGTCAAAACAGGGTGACACCGTCACGAAAACATTTTAGCCCTTATTCTAGTAAATGATACAAAGCAACTTCATCAACACATGGCAAAATAGACACCTCATACTGAATATAGCCAAGTGCGAGAGGCTATCAACGGTCGGCGAGGGGTCCTTCAGAACCCCTAATAGTCTTCACACGCTAGCATCTTAATTCGCCGGCTCAAATCTCACGGGCTTCTTCGCCGCCCTTTCCGAGGCTCTAATATGAAAGCCTACTCGTAGGCAACTCATAGATGAAGACCAGCAGGACAAATAGATTTTGCGCCATAGTTACTAAATGAGTTGGAGCTATTACATGGGGGAGAATGACAGGAGTTCGACATATTCATGTATTCGCCACTCCAGCGACGTGATTGACTTTGAGTGTTTTAGCACTGCTGAGTATTCTTCCAAGCATAAAATATGACTTTGCAAAAATGTTTGCTGTGCACCTTCGTTATGTAAGGCCGCCAAAAGGTGATTTGCAAAAGGGTTTTGGAGTAATGTGGATGATTGTAGGATCGGCAGGAAGAACCAGTATGACTTGGCGTTTTATTGAATCGAATTTCGGTTGTAATTTTGCCACTTGAAACTGCACTTCCAACGGTTATAAAAGTTGTCCCCTCAGGGTATAAACCAGCAGCCTCACTTCCTTTTATCATCTTGATCTATGCGCAAATTGAGACTTTACGGTTCTTTTTGACAGAACTCGTAACCATTAGACCATGATGTTCTAAGCTTTCAACTGGACCTTACAAAAGGGTTGTAGCGCCACGCCTACCCCGGCTCCCTCCCCTACCCCACCAAGGAGTTTGTCACGGTTTGTGAACTTCAAAAATTGGTTAAAATTTTGCCAGTCAGGTCGTGTGCAATTTAAGTCAGTCTTCTCGAGTCCTTATCAATCCTTCTTTTCCTTTTGAATTATTATTCCTTATTTTGTGTTTTCCTATTTTACAAACCTTATAGTTTGAATTGAGGTTTCCTACACAATAAAGGTAATTTTTCACGTTGTAAAAAAAGGTTAGAACATGGCTCAACTCCTTTGATTTGAAGCTTTTCCCGGTGTTGAAGTTGTAAATTAAGAGGATTCGACATTACAACAGAAACAGAATTGAAGCTGGCATGGTAAATTTATTCAAGTTTTCAAAACATTTTAAAGTTCTTTTGGCAGTTAAAGTTTAAACTGATTGATGTCTTCAATCACATCAAAAAGGGCGTCCTCACTGTTGTAAGCGTCACAGAGTGCCACCCTGCTCTCGGCGTTGACTTGTATCACTTTCCATTCCTTGAAGATGCGCACCGCATTACGGAAAGGTTCTAGTGAACAACTCTCGGCTGGAAAACAAAAAGCAAGAGATCTGTTTAGTATGGAGCGATGATCAAAGATCTAGATGCGATAAAGTGAGTAAAATTTCACAACAGGTATGACCCAACAAAAAACCATAATTTAATTCTCGTGCAGCTAACTTGTCAACATCAATTTTTTAACTGGTTAATCTTAACCACAGGTCAAAATGTGATTCATGTCATCTCTACTATTTTTGGCGTGAAGTTGAATGCAACATCTATCAGTGACAGGATGGATGAGAGTAAAAGTGAGTGATGCAACTTCTGGAAAAGCTTTGTCAGTTGTAGTCTTTCGGACAGAGAAAATACTATTCAAGACCTCTATTGCACCTGAAGAATCTCAGTCAATTAGCATACTAAATGTAAGAATGTTGAACACTTACGAAACATTGTTACTCCTTCATTGACTCGTTCTTTGGCACAGGAATGAAGAGCAGTCAGAAACTCAGTATCTTGAGGGAAAATGAGATAGAATAGAGATAAAAATAACAACTACAGCCAAACCAGACCACATAAAAATGCTGCAGTCTCCAAGCAGCTGAAGTGGTTAAACAACACAACTTGACAGGCAAATACAGTAATCTACATAAATATGTATAGTGATGCAGCACAGGTCACTAGCACGATCAAGCGATTTTTGTACAGAAGACATGATGTTTCATTCTTGATTAGTCCTTTAGGAAAGTTCTAGTGGTTTCGACATGAGTACATGATGTCTATTTAGAGAAACTCGACTTGCTTACCGTAAATTCTGGAAAATTCTATGATGTAATGTTACTGAAAATAGTTCTCCGGTTCTTATTGGTTTAAATCGATCACGGATGGATAGTGCCCGTCCGCGGAAAATACCTGGATTGATAGTACTCATCCGTGAAAAGTTTTGAATAGTTTGACGGCCGCGAAGCTAGGCAGATCGGAAAAACAGTGACTTTTCAGTTCTGACAGGTATAACGTTTTATTTAGTCAATGTACGGGTGCGAATTATTGACATTTGTGACAAGCTGTAGGCGCGGAAGAAAATTTAGTGGTGAACAATAAAAACAATAGAGTGTTTATGTCTCGGAACTATCGGTTTGATAGTTGCCCCTTGGAAATTTGATGTTCTTAAAACTAGCATATTCGACAGAAACACTCTATTGTTTAAATAGATGGCAGTCACTCCTCAGAAGTTAAACGGTTAATGTTACTTTACAGTTCTGATCAAACTAAAAGAACGAACAGAAAAGTAATACCACCAGATTTCACCGGTGGAATCCAGTTTACAATTAGTCCGCGACGATGTGAAGGCTTACAGCTCTTCTTGAAATGATCATCTCTTGAATCAGATTTGTAATTTCCTTGCCGCCAAATTAATTACTGAAACCTTCGACGGTAACCACGTAGATATAAGGACTTTCGTGGCTACTTGCAGCATTACTAATATGTCTCAATGTTTGTCATACTTGTATACGTTAAAGAAAACTACATTTTCCCGCGTGAGTCACAAGTATGTGTTTCGTGTGCAACGCAGCATTCGGTTGACAACAAAATCATTTATCTCAAAGCACATAATCGTCAAAGTTCACGAACAGAAGAATGAGATATCGACAGAGAATTCGTATAATTTGTACCGTTCTTGGAGGGTCCCCAAGAGGGTTCTTCAATCCAGACCGGAATTTTCCCTCAAGCCCGAGATCCCGACGGTTTCTACCGACTAATCCCGATCCCGGTCATATTTTCTTAATTCCTTACTTCAGCAAAAATGATCCTTGTAGTTCCGTTTCAGATTTCCTCACAGCAAACTCAAGCACTGACTATTACGTTGAATTAGCTGTATCTCTCTGCACTAAAACGATGATCTAGTTCATTTGTTTTTCATGAATGGTTTTAAACGAGTTTCGTCAGTCAATGAGTTATTTTCATGGTTTCTATAGCTTTTTTTTTGTTTTCTTTTCTTCTGTTTTGCCTCGTTTGTTCGATAACACCTGCCTTTCGGATCATTTTGATCCCTGAAAAAAGTGTCTCTGGGAGATGAGAGCAATCAATGAAGAGCATTAAAGGGGAACTGAAGCCTAAAAATGGACCATTTTTAAATTGCAGCTTATAATTCAAATAGCAATGTTCGAGGGTTTTTTTCAGTCTTTGGGCCCAACTTCGCCTCGGAAAAATAGTTTAAAGTGGTATTTTGGCCTCGTAGTACGGCGGCTCAGAAAATCGATGTCAACGGTCATTTTAGCTCGCTCTTACGTCACTGGTGGGGAAGAAAGATAATAAACCCGTACTCTTCCTACAGAAATTTGGTTTGGTTATGGAGTTATCGAAGTTGCGTGACTTGTAATG